TCAGCGGTGTGGCTACTCACGAGTCATCCAGGGACAGACTACATTGATCCGGATCCCTTCTGGGGCATTTAGTCGAAGGCCTCTCAAAACTCCAATCACCCCGTGCTTGCTGGCCACATACGGGGTCAGGGAAGCCGTCTCCTTAAACCCTGCGATGCTGCTGGTCATGATGAGGTCGCCGCCACCGCTCTTCCGCAAGTAGTGCAGCCCAATTCTCGCCGTGAACATGACTCCAACAAGGTTGATGTCCACTTCCCGCATCGACGGCTCGACCTCGATGTCGTCGTTGTCGTCAAAACAGTCACTATAGCCCACAACGGCAGCGTTTGCGACGACAACGTGGATGTTGCCAAATCTGCTATGTGCTTCCTTGAAGAGGGAGAGTTGGTCTTTGTAAGACGCAGTGTTGCAGCGGACAAATACGCATCGCGAGTCGAGGCTCTTTTGTAAACTCTCACCAGCCTCTACTGCCACGTCGCCAATTACCACGTTGGCACCGTGTCCTGCCGGTTCTCTTAGTATTTCTCTCCAAGCATTGTGCGACAGGCAGAAAAGGGGCGACAGAGGAAACAATCTCCATACGGTGAGCTTCAATGGCAGCTTCCCTCCCAATCCCAATTGCGCCACCGGTAATGACCATCGTAATGCCCTTCAAGGCCAGAAAAGCCTCCGGGTTGGCGATTATATGTGTCATTGTATTGAAAATCTCACAATGGTCACAAGTATATTGTGAAATGGTTGCGTGTATAGTTGAACTCAAGCGAACATAAAAAGTCCAATAGGTCAATTTTATCAACGACTTGTGCAGCATCCGGGGAAATTACATTACATGAAGCGGGAGCAGTGGGGGAGAGAGGCTTCCGCGTGGAGAATCGCTCATAATAAAGGGCCAGTCCCGACTCCGGATAGCAAACAACCCTCCACAACCGGCATCTACTAGTCTCAATTTGTGCTTCCTCAACATTCGCCAAACATGGAGTTCTTAATCGACACCAAGACTTTGACTGGTCTGAAGGACAAAGTCGTCTTCATCACTGGAGGTTCCAAAGGGCTGGGGCTGGCAGCTGCCACCCAATTCGTGGAGTTAGGCTCAAAGGTGGTCGTCGCTGATCTAGAACCACCATCCAGTCCCCTTGAGGGTTCCGTCTATTCTTACTGCGACGTGACGAAGTGGTCCACGCTCCTCGCGGCCATGCAGGAGACAGTCCGACTTCATGGATCACTGGACGTCGTGGTTGCCAATGCCGGAATTGGCGAGGTCGAGGATGTCTTCTTTGACGACGTGGACGGAACCACAGGAGAGCTGAAGGAACCAAAACTCTCCGTCATAGACGTTAACCTCAAGGGCGTCATAAATACAGTGAAAATAGGCATTCACCATATGCGGAAACAGCCAGGTGGCGGCGCTATCATAATGACATCGTCCTCTGCCGGATACCTGGGAGAAAAACTGATACCGGCATATAACGCCGCCAAGCACGGGGTACGTCTAAGCTGGCTCAGTTTTCCTTGGCCGTTGAAATGCTAGAATGCTAAACAAAAGGAAATAAAAATAGGTCGTGGGCTTGATGAGATCCTTGAGAGCAACCACAGAGAAGTTCAACATTACCGTGAATGTGGTGGCACCATGGATGGCTGAATCAAATCTCATCCAGGATCAAATTCGTCAGGTTCTAAAGGAAAACCATGTTGAAATAACTGACGCCAGCAACGTCGGGAAAGCCATGGCCTACCTTGCTTCCGGAAGGTTGAATGGGAAAACAATCTTTGTTGGTAGGAATCACTTTACCGAATTGGAAGACAAAATTTCTGAGCTGGAGCCTCAGTGGCTCGGCCAGGAGAATTCCAAGGCATGGCGGGCAACGAATCAGGCCAACTATTTCTACAATCAGAGCCGCCTATAGACATGAATCTAGCAAACCATACAAGAGAGAAAGTACGGCACATGCATATCTCTATAGATGTTTCTTCTGCGCCTCCCAATTTAGATAGAAAAAATAATTATCTCTTGCTCAACGCATTTCCGTAAAGGTTTTACAAGCACAAGCGTCAAGCATATTCAACTCAAAACAAGGCAAATCAGCCCTCTTACACTGTAGAGACTCACTATTCCGATTTACGGGGAAATACGACACAACCGCCAACTTGATCACCAAGATTCCTTCTTCTTCTCACCCTATGATAGTCCGGATCCGAAGCACTTCGCTCAACGGTGCGCGTCCCGTGGTGACCAACGGAAGCGGGACTCCGGGAGCAGGATTCCGGAAGCGGGACTTCGGAAGTGGGCGGCTGTTGTTGAATTTGCTAAGCTACCGCTGCAGCTGGCCAACATTATCTCTTCAAAGATTTATCGCATCAGCGTCGAACTCGTCATAAGGTATATGAATTTAGAAACTCATTAGGTAAATAGTGACGAAACCATACCGTGCACCCTTACCAAGACAGAAAACATCTCCAGAAACACGCGAAAGGCAAAGGAAGCACCAGCTGATTATTTCTCGGAACTCGTGGGGTATGAATCCCCACACCTGTTCACGTGTACACTAACGGCGGGTAGTCTCAGCCGTTGGGGTAATGCCACAAGTGAGCATCCGGAGCTTGCCTAACTGAGGCCAGAGCGGAGGTGTCGGTGCTCTCAACCTGCCCTCTTTTGAGCTTCTCGTGTCTTCTCGGTCTAAGTGGCGTTTCTCTTCACTTCTGTTTCAACTTCTTTACATCCTATCATAAAGCGCTGATTTTTAGTTTCACTAAAACAGCGCTCCTCATTAACGATTGAGACACCAACTCGCGAGTGACATTCGTTCTTGAATATCATACATCGTACCTACACTTGTTTGTAATAGTAAGAAGGCTTGGCTTTTCAGCTATGGTAAGCTTCAAGCCAGTACAGCGGGTTTGAGAAAACCTATGTTGGCAGTCCAACTACATGTTAGATTAGTCAGTTCAATTTCATTCAAACTCTAAGGAGTAGTTTTACACTCTCTCGAAATGCGGTCACTCCGAGACAACCATCACGTTCTATTCGATCGTTCCATCGCAATGATAATTCTGGTACGCGCAGGCACCAGGCAAGGAAGAAATGGTCGTAGTGGCGAGAAGGGAGTTGGTTGCAGAGCTAGGGACAGAGGCTGCAACGGAGTTGGGGGTATAGGTCGAGAGAGCTATGGTGGCGTTTATACTATGGTTTTTGTGTTATTAAGTCTTGTAGATCAGTCTATATGTGAGAATTCAGGTTCTTTGTGAATTGGAAGCATGCAGAAGAACATAAAAAGATCTCCAAGTCCCTAAACCCATTAGACTTTTGGACTGCCCCTGGTTTCTGAGTTACCCTAGAAACGATATTTGATTTCTCACATTGCGAGAAGAATGTAGGGAAACCTATTTTAGCATAGATTAGTGAGTAAGGAAGGAGACTAGAGACTCACTGTTCATACAAGCTATATTTCGTATATTTAGATGTGCAATTTCTGAAGGTAACCCATATCTTCAATACCCGCCAGAGTCATTCTCACGTTCGCCCATTGTTCACACGGGATCAGAGTGCAAAATTTGTACGAGTCAGTCGAATGCTAACAACAATTAATGCACTGAGCTACAGCTAAAACTCACTAAAAAATATCTACCGGCAAAATCTGTCCATACCAAGAATTTGCGGATAATTCAACGTTATTCAGCTATGGATATGTGATTCTAGCATATCAGAGGCGTGCTAATTCCAATACAACCACTCTCACCAACTACTAGACTGAAAGATACGGATATCTGCTTACACTGTCGCATTATATCAAGTTTATCCTTGAATCATGGACATATATCGTAACATCCTTTTAACCAGTCAGTTCCATCGCTCCTTTTGCCAAAACCCAGATAGCCTCATAACAGCACCTTATTTTGGATCAAACGTCTGAGTTCGTTGAATGATAGTCGAGTTATTAAACATGATTCAAGTGCAAGGTTACCTTAAGGAATTTCCTCAGACTTTGGGTCGAATTTGTGGCAGTTGGGTGTGCCATCAGAGTTACGGCCCAGGTAGACGTAACCGACTGGACAACCATGATCCCCTCCGGTATTGGCTATATCGGTGGGCTTCTCGCTAATAATTGATGGCCAAAGATCAAGGAAACATCCCAAAGTGTTCACACAACCTCCAGACTGCATTGGAGTTAGTATTCCTTTATTTATGTCGATATTGAGGGAGAGGCTTCGCAATGCAAATACCGAATTTAAAAGAAAGCCCTTTTTGCACGCGCACCCAATCTTGCACATTTTATTACAAATGGTAGGGGCAGGGCGAAAGCATCGAGCAGGACACGTTGTGCCGCAAGGATTCCAGACCTCGTTGGTCTTAGGGGCGACGGAGATGTTAGACTTGTATGCATGGTTCACGATGACCTTAATAAACGTAGAAGCGTGCTTACTTTGCATTCATGGTTTGTAGAAATGCCCGACCCAGTGAGTTCGGGGATCGGATTCATAGCTGGAGTTGATGATTCGACCGGGCCATGGTCCGTAAGAGTGGGCATGGCTAATAGTCCACGGACTGCGCACAATAGAAGAACAGCTTTCATTTTGTTTTCTTCTTTCCAATGTGAAATAATGAATTGCGATATTAAGCGAGGAGATAGCAAATAGAAGTACGGGATATTGGATAGCAAGGCCGTGTGATCTTTTATGCTGTTTGGGCACATTCCCCATAAAATTACTATAAGACATTATGCATCACTCTCCCTGATCTTGGAGGCACCCAATCCAAACTAGCCAGTGAAGGGGGCTTGGTATCTTAGAGCCCAAGGCAACTTTCCTCTTGATCTTGGCCTAATTCCAAAATTTCAATTTGAGCTATGAGACATTTGGGCCATCGGTACCACCACTGCCACCACTAGATTTTCATTATTTTCGGCTACAAATTCATATGGTTTAGATTGGTTGAGATTATTTCCTAATAAGTGGACACCTTCCTCATCTCATCAGTACACTTATTCAAAGATCCGTTTCTCGTGTCAAGCCTGGAGCGAACGCGCAGATTCAAACTTCTTAATAGCGGAATGAATCGCCTTCCAGTCATAATCTTCCGAACCGTAGACTCGCTGTTTTCTCAATAGCATACCTGAATCATTATCAAACGCGGGGAGCTGTTCCCAAGGTTTACTACCAAACAATATGTGCCGCTTCCGCAGTCGCCAAGTCCCTTTCTCATTTGGCTGCTCTCTTAAGTCCTTATAGTCCGAGGTAAGGATCGGATATATGTCTTCAGGTTTTGCGTCAGCGTCAACCTTTTTCTCTGGGTCCACGAGGTGGTCATTGGGATTTTCAGGCTCAGATGATGGGTCAAACGGCTCAACAACCCAAGCCCGTGGCACCCAAGCGGGCAGATGCGCTATTGCAACAGGGACAGCGACCCATGATCTGTTGCTTATAGACTGGATGATGCCAAAGTCTCTTCGTCCAGTCGCCAAGTAGCGTGGGCCTGCGGTTAAGAGAGCAAGTCTAGGGTCCAAAAGGCATGTGAAGGATTTGACCAATCGTTGAATGTCGGTGGTCTCTTTGTTTGAGTCATCTTCAGAAGCGGAAAAATGCTCGAGAAGTGCCTTGGATGCATCTGTCAACCGGGGATCTGTTGCATCTCCTAGTGTTCCATGCAGCCATGTCTCTTGAGTAGCTTCGCGCATAAGTTCCGGGAATTGAAGAGTCCATTCAAGACCACAGTCAAGGGCAATAGCAATCCAAAGGAGTACAAGCCTCTCTAGTACTCCAGAACTGCCCCCGGCCCGCTGAAATTCGCCTGCTACCAGCCCGACGCTACGTCGGATATCCTCGCCAGCTGCGGCCAGGAGGTCCTTGCTAAAGTCTAGTAGATGGTACTCCTCTACGATTTTTGATGCTACTTGTATAGATTCATCGGTAGCTGCCTTTGGCGGCTCCTTGAATACAAGAAGATCGAGCTCGATATAGTCTTGCGTGGCTCCAGTAATTGATTGCGGGAACGGCGTGATTGTACTGTTAGGGATATGGTCAACAACGCCTTGCAACGGACGAACCACCCATGAGACTTGAGACGCGTCATCACAAGCATTTCTGATTCTCAGCTTGCTCCCATCCATAAAAAACGGCGTAACGTCGTTGCAGGCCAGCACAAGGGTGGAAAATATCCAGATGATGTCTTCCACGGATGAAAGGGTCCCTGTAAAAGACAGGGGGATGCCAGAGGTGTTCAGCGCGATCGAAATCAAATCCTGCCTGTGGGAGCATTGGAATGAAAGAATTTTGACCAGATGCTGCATCATAGAGACATCGGAAACGTCCTCTGGGACAAGACGCAGAATCCTCCACCAACGCTGCAGCAGGGACTCCGGCTCTGGATCATTCATGGCATCGCTCATTTCCGTCCCGGTTCTCTGAACCTGTGGCTCCGAATCACTTAGATACATGGAAACGTAGTTGATGCAGCGGAACTCAAACGATAAAACGCGTCCGTCATGGCCGTAACATAGGAAAAGGGGGTTGTTTATCTTCATATGCGGTGCCACTCGGCTTTCGTGCGCACACCAGGCTCGAGAAAACCAACGGCCACCGAGGACTCTGGAGCAGAATCGTCTTGCAGTCGCCGATATGTCTTTTCCAGTCTCGGATTGAAGCTCCCTCTCCCGACGGGGAAAGTATTCCCTCAGGAACGCGCGCTTGTCTTCGGCTCCTACAACGTCACGAGTGAGGTCTTGGTAGAAGCCCGTATACACAAGACCTGCCCTCTCTTCCTCCTCGGTAAATTGGACGTCCTCCAGCAGAATAATCACACGTCGTGCAGAGCGGTATATGGTATCCATGGCCCCGATATGCACCTTCTTCTCCCTCGTATCCTCTTGGTTGATGCAAAGTTTGTCTAGCCAGACGCCCTCATCTGGGTCGCTTCGCAGGCCCATTACTGCCGTGATCATGGGCATCGAAATCTCCCATCCCTGCGCAATTGGGTGCGCCGCCTCGGGAATTTTCCACTCTGGGTAGTGCCAACAATAGCTCACAACGATGAAGGAAGATATATTCCCAGAAGATGGCCGTTGCGACGAAATCACGCGCATCTGCAGCTCCGCGAAGAGATCCTCCTTTGGCTGGAACTGGCTTCCCACTTTAGGATTTAGCTCTGTAAGCCGAGACAAGATGGTTTCAGCTTCTGCTCGACGAGACTGAATTGAGCTGAGCGCTGGTGAGAGTAGGGAGAGGGCATTTGACAGGGGCACATCCACCACCACATGACCAAGTCCAGCAACGACTGTGGTCATGGAGTCCGCATAGTCACCAACCATCTTGACTGGAATTCAGGGAATGATTTGTGTAAACTAGGGAGTCTTGATAGGAATGCCTGGATATTCGCGCGGTCCGACGTGATGCTCTGGCACCAGTGAAGGTGCAAGAGTCAAGTTCGTTATCACACCACATGAAGAGAGGGGCTGAATTGACGCATCCTGACAGGCACCCTGTTAGGCTGATTCATCATGAGTATTTAGTCTACCTTGAGACCTAACTCAAAATTGGGTTGTGGAGAAGAAGAGACGCAATATCAATAATGTATGATAAAGCATGAAAACTTTAGCCCCCGAAATATCAATTATTGTGTGTGATAAAAGGGAAAACAAAAGGAACATTGGTAAACTACCTAGCATTGGTACTAACTTTGAAACCACCTAAGAAGCGAACCACACCAACACGCACCAACTCCGCCAAAAATGTAACTGCCCTTGAAGAAGGACGCTTCGAGGTAAATTTCTCAATAATGTGCACATACAGTAAGTTCAAAATTGTTATTCTATTCGATTGTCTGCCAGAAAATATATATATATATCAAAACAATACCTATCATCGCTATGAATGCCACATCATATTGTCATCGACCGTTGTTCTGCCCTCTCATAAAAAGACAACTATATCCTTGCATCATGCCATATCTTACAAAGCCAAGCCCTCCCAGATGCGTTGTTTAGTGCTTGTTGTGCTTCTTGCTATGCCTAAATTTCAACAGTCAGTTGTCTGCTCTACAGTGCATTGGGGATCTGATGTGGGGGAAATACTCACTTCTTCAGCTTGTTCTCTAGTAAATTGGCGCCAATGGCGCCCGCAGCAGCGCTGGCAAGGGTGCCGAGCATGCCAGTGCCGCTCTTACGAGCAGCCCATCCCGCGGTGCCACCTCCAACGAGGGTGGCTCCAAGTCCACGCTCGCCATCAGGACCGGGTGCCATTTCAGGCTGGCCCTGGCCTGCATAATATCCTCGGTTGTCGTACCCTTGCTGGTAGGTCTGAGGGTAACCACCCTGGCCTTGGTTGTATGTGGGCTGCTGGGCGTATGTGGGTTGCTGAGCGTATTGAGGCTGGAAATAAACAGTCAGTACTGGTTGATCTCTTGAGTCTGTAAATCAGTCGCTATCTCACCTGTTGAGGGCCGTTGTTGGCGTTGGCATATCCGTAGTAGCTCTGGTTAGACATGTTGGATGATAGTGTTGTGTTGAAAGTAGGTGAAAGTAACTTGTTGGTTGTGAGACTTGTTGGATAGTTTGATAAAGTGTTTGATGTTTTGAATGATGAACAAAATTAGATTCACCGTGGATTCCATGGGGTATTTATCTTTCCCCCATTCCCCAATCCCCATTTTCTCGGGCCGTAATGTCGGACTGAGTTCGGACTGCTTCAACGATGGTTTCGTCGCTCTGAGTGGCGCAGCGGCGGCGAAGTGGGTCACTCTGCGTGGCTGGGTCGAGCTAAGCCCTTTTAGTCAACCGGAGAGCCACCCAAAACCTTCTAGAAGCTCCACAGATTTCTTCTAGCCTATCATGCATCGTGGCTTTGTGATCAGCTGGGGGCAGTGGAAGACGAATATCATCTGCCGAGCCTCCCTTCGGCAGTGTTGGCACAGGTGGCTTAGGCGATCGGCATCGGCACGGTCTTCGCGCTCTCTGGTAACGTGTAAAGCGATTGGCTGTGTCGCATCATTCTACCCCTCTTGGTCTTAAGCTGGTCACAGAGCGCGATGTGATGTCATCCAGAAAGGTTAAACTTATTCTTAGAATGCGAGTCAAAGAAAATGTACACCTCAGCTATCAACCTTACTAGACTCATTATTTCAGAGTTTCATTATCTTGTTATTTGCGCTGTTTTATGTTTCATCTGCCGGTACTATACAGCTGGTCGTCCTTCCGATACATCTCGTTCTGGCTCTATCTTTTTTGTAATGTTTATGTTGGGGTTTCCCTATACGGGAATAGGGCAATTCATTGCAGCATACTTACCCATACGATAGTCGAATTGGTCAACCCGGTACTCATTGGCATAGAATATTGGTTTCTTTTTACGGCGTGCCCACGCCGTACAGCCAAATCTCAGCGTTCTGGCGCGTTACTGGCTCAACTAATTTAACTATCTTATGGGGAGCATGCTCGCATGTCTTCGACCGTCACCTCAGCCCGCCCTTCTGCCTCGGCATCATGCTCAAATCTCTATGACACCCGGGGGAAGCGGGTGCTAGTATCCAGATCACAGAAAATAACTCCCGCTTGCTCAGGGAATGGGCCGCAGATGATGAAGTCTAGAAACATGCTGTATTGCCTCAAAATATATACTTCCGAAGATATGTAACTGAAGACGTTATCGAGCGGACACCACTTCATCACCCCGCATACCTGCACAACTTCAACCGTGCCAGTACTAACCCAGACTTCGGGTAAGAGAGTTTGAGTACAAGGTCAAAAACAACGATGAAGATGCCAGGCCCGACATCTTAACACAGTGAATGAACTCAAACTTCATTAGACAAGAAGACAAGCGATTCTTCCCCTCAAAAGGCGTATGAAGTTTTAACCCATGAAACAGTATAATTAACCAACGCCATAAACCACAAAATAATGTAAGAATTGAAGTCTCGAAACTGTGGGCCCTGGGAGAAGACTCAATCCCACGGCTGTATGTGGTGGTCAGCGGCCTCCGCGGTTTCCGCGCCTCTGTCTTCCCGAGCTACCGTGTGTTCCACGATTCCCGGAGCAGGAAATACGAGAATAAGCATGGTCCTTAATTCATCACTGCAATTCTATTGGCTAGTCATTGCTCAATTTGGCAGGATTGACATGCAACTCGGCGCGCATAGCCATGGGCTGACCCGCGCAGGGCATACTCAGGGACTGTTTCTACAGCAAGGAGCACGTCGTCAAATTACTGCCAAAATCACCTGTACCCATTATATCCAACATGTTTCTGATTTAGCATGGTATCTTTTAGCTTCAAGGAGTAAAGTCTATCAGATCTTAAGTCGTCAATAGAATTCGCACCACCGTTATGTTTACTATCAAGAGAGGTCGAAGAAGTTCAAATCATTCACTCAATAAATGCAACAGGCCACAAGGGTTAATTTTAGTTTTTGGCGCTCAATACCGGAAACAATGCGGATGGCTCTATTATAATATTGTAAAGGAAACTTAAAAAGAAATAACACACAAACTTCGTCTCTGTCCTCTGAACATTCTACCCAACTTAAATCTTTTCTGGAACTCTGAGTGCCCGGCGTAACTAAGACCTTAAACCTGCACCATCCCCAAGAGTGCAGTCCCGAGTACCAAGGATGCAACCAAAATGCCACTTGCACTCACACCATGCTTCGAGGAAGCTCCCTTCTTATCCTCATCGTTCGAATTCTTATCGCTAGTAGACGTGGAGGAGCTTGAGCTGGAGGTACGCGTGCCGGTGGCAGAGAGCGAGCCAGTGCCGATGATGGTGGCCGAGGCGGTGGATGGAAGCTGGCTGAGGTCTGTGGCGGTTGCCGTTGCATTCTCGTTTCCCTTGCAGAAAACATCACCCCAGGCGGCGTTCTTTCCGTAGAGACAGTCGATGAGCTCCTGGACGTTCTGTCCGGAGGCAAGGCAGTACAGTCCGCAGTCATCGTAGTAGCTCACGACCGGTGCACTCTTGCAGCAAGCCTTGAGGAGGTTGGCATTGTCGTTGCTGAATGGCATTGCGCAAACGGCATCGGAGACTGGTGTATCATAGAGATTTGAGCATGCTGCCGAGGCAGAAGGGCGAGCTGAGGTAACGGTCGAAGACATGTTGATTAGAGGAAGTATTGAAAATATCAATTTAAGCGAGTGTCTTGAAGATCTTCGAGAATGTAGAAACGAATGTAGTTGAAAGGAAATATGAGTAGAGAACACCATATCATCGTGGAAAGCTCAATCTTTAAGGCAACTCACGGAATCCGCGGATGATGGTGATGCATGCCCAGCGCCCCACTCCCTCGTACGTGTCAGTCCCAAGTTTCGTATGCAAGATTTCTTAAATTCTAGTCCTATTTTAAGGGGAAGCCAAGACTCCTTTGATCCACCGGAGTCCATTGTTCATTCAGACGTCATAGGGGGGTACATCAGATGTCATTAAGTCTACAGTATCCCGCTCCCTGTGTCTCAGGCAAGCACAAGCCGGTGATTCTCGTTACCTATACTTCAAGTTTTACTTATTGGTATTTCCCATTTTCTCATAGAAATACCGAGAAATCGCATTCCAGATTCCTGGGTGATCTGAACTCAAGTCACGGCGAAGCAAAAAAATAAAGCGACCCCAGTTACCCATAAGCTCAACGTTCAATACCAGTCGCATACTCAAAAGTGCTGTTCACAATAAGGTGGGCTGTCTAAGCAAACAAGATCGCCTCGATGTAGTAGGCGGAGCGTATCAATGCTGCTATTCACAGTACTGAAGTCAGTCGCGTTCAAGCCCATAGCAGAAGCATGTCATAATCGCCCATGTGGGACAATTGTTGTATCACATCCAGGTCGGTGGTGTTTCTTGCAGAATACTTCGCCCAATATTTGCGTGTATTCAACAGGACTTACATATCTATTCATACAAAATTCTATATAATTTCCGGCCCAAGAAAGAAATAGTCCATCGCACTGCGAATGGGATAGTCATTCCTCACCACCGTGTATTTTCCAGCTCAAGGTCCCATATCACATTGAGTCCGTCCTGCCGATGCCCTTTTTCCTAGTAAATCACCAGGAGATTATTAAAACTTCCCAGTAGAGTTCTCCTAAGTTATCTTGCAACGAGACTGAACGCCGGCTTTTACACAGATTTTTAGGTATCCGGACACACAGCAACGCAACACCAAGGTTCGATCCATCTATTGAAACATGCCTCGCCCCCCTCCAAAGAACCAGTCGGTTATTTCTGGCGGTGCAAGCCCGTCACTCAAATTCATACCCGTGCCGGAGGCTCCCAAGCCCATCTGCCCCATGAATTCATCGTACTCGTGATTGAGTGCCCCATCCTGATCACCCTGCCAAATATCCTCGTGGTACGCACAGGCAACATCGCACATGGTTCGGCATAGGTTAAAGAGCTTCTGCGCTGTATCTGATGCTTCTTTCAGCTTATCTAACGACTCCGCAAATGCCTTGAGAAGGTTGAGGTCCTCGATATCCAGCCTTTCAATGACATGGCAAAAGAGAATGAAGAAGGGGGCAAAAGGGGTCAACATCATTGTCCTACCCAGTCTAGAATTAGCAGCGGTCAAGCAGGAAGGAGTCGAATGCATCATCACTTACCAACTGACGTACACCCCCTTTAGATATGAGCTATCGCCAAGAGTTCCAAGGCCATTGAGGTGGCATTTGATAGCATTTCGTGACGACTCAAGGCATTCATTGGAGAATTGACTACCAGAGCCTTCAGGTGCTGGAATGACCCGATGCACGAATGTTGTCATAACATAAAACTGCACCTTGCTGCTCACAACAAACAAATTGATGAGGTCAGACGGCTCTGAAGAGGATTGGAACTGTGGCGAAGAATCTCCATCCAGCTTCAATATCTCTTTTTCCAGAACCATGCATTCGTTTCCAAGTTCTCTGGCTCGTGAAAGCAGCTCCATCGGCGATGCTGACATTGCCTCCTTGCTATACCTGTACGTAAAACAGTCAGTTCTCGGTGGGAAGCATCAGCAGCGTGGGGTAATGACGAACAATTGCTCATAGGTGCGCGACCGGAGTGGACTTGTCAAGAGCCATATCTTAGGCACATCCGCTTTCTTGAGTTGGTCCCACGCCGCCAAATCAAGCTTCTTTGGAATGGTGATATCCCAGTCCGCGACAACAGACGCGCGCCCAAGTCGCAGACTGAGGGACTTGTCAAACACAAAGGCCTGCCAAAACAAATTCGACTTGATCCGGGTCATTTCCGCGTCGTTGTCCATACACTCTATCCGATGGAAGCCTCCGTCTTGGCAGAGCTGGACGGCTTGTGCGTTCAGCTGCCAGGCGACTGCGGGCCAGCACATGTCCACCGAGTACGAGACAGCCAAGAGGAGGGCCTGTATGTTGATGACTTTGGCCGGCTGGAACAGCGGGATGTGCTTGATGAGGGTGTCCAGGTTTGCTTGGCAGAGTTGGGCGTAAGACCGGTATTCTTCCTTGAGCCTCAGATTGGTTGCATTTGACCCCTGCTCGGAAAATAAAGCGAACAGGCTGGCATTTACGACTGTCAACTGGGCATGGCTAGAAGTGTGAGGGCTGCTGTAGGTAGCACCGGCAAGTTGCGATAGGTCTGTAATGCCGACTAGGGCAGAGTTGTAGACAAACATAGTAGGACCTCCGGCTTCAATTATCACACATTAGATGAAAGAATTCCTGCAAAAGGGGGATGGATTTGACGAACTTTGAGCTTCCTTGAGGAGAGTCATGACAACCGTATACGGAGGCAGAGGTAGGTGTTGTAGACCTCCCTCTGGGACTGGACGCTGCATGGGAAACCGCTGATCGAGACTGGTCGACCATCGCCGTTGCCCTTGCAAGAGCTCTCTTAACTTGGTCAGGGCGGAGTGCACATTCGGGTTACGCTCCCGTACCCGACCTTGGGCCACTGCATGCTCGAGAAAATCGCTGGCTTGCAGAGTCTGCATCCGAAGCGTGTAATCGCCGTTGGGACGCAGGTCATCGCCACTGCCCGGGTCGCTCCACGTTGTGCTGAGGACATCTATGTCTGAACTGGGCTCGGCGGATCCTGGGGCGGATGAGGCGGCCGATAGATTGACGAGGGCATCTTCAATATTCTTGAGCCTGTCGTCAATAACGTCCATCTTCTTCTCACTACGATCCGGAGTCAGCACTAGGAACGAAGGCCTGCATGCGCCAGGCGTCGGGACCTACTATTCACTGGTGACGAAGATCCGTGGCCTCGCCTCTCGATGGCGGATTGTGCCGACGGTACAGGCATAGCCAGCCGTGACACAGCACGAGCAAGGGGATGTTTTGTCACATCGGATCTAGATACGCAGATGCATAAGCGTCGGTTATAATTGCCGGAGTCCACGGGGAGCGGAATCTAACCTTTCTTTTGCGACATTGATCACACTAATTGGTATTAATAGAGATGATCAGGAGAAGGGATCCTTCCGTCATTGAGACAGTGGGAGGAGAGGGGACGAACCGCTTTTTTAACAGAAAAGGCCTCCAAATCAATCTCGGCCGAGCTCGACATTGTGAATTTATGAGAATGAAAAGGAACAACAGGGGAGAGGGTCTGCTGGGTCGGTCTTCTTAAACCCTTAAGTGGCCCCCGTAAATCGTGAGTTCAATGGAGGGTATGAATCTGTCTCGTCCGTAGAGTTATATCTCCCTCCTTAGTGAAGTCATGGAAGAGAGAAGCTATTTTTAATCAAGGCTCATTCATCAAGCCTCAGATGCAATAGGGGTCCAAGGCAATACGGTCCCGTGTTTTCATTGATCTTACCCTTACGTGGCAGCCACAGGGTCAGTGAAGGGCTGAGGTAGAAGAGAAAAACGGCTTATTTTCGACCCCTGGGGCAGCGGCATGACGTCGATTTGACAGTCCCAGGTGAGAATTGTGGGACGGAATCCGCGGAGCCGAGTCGTGAGATGCGCAAAGGGGCCAGCCATTGGTTATCAACCCAAACCTAGCCCGAATCACCACAAGACCCAAGTTTAAGCCCGACCGAAGCTGTGGCCCATTCTCAGCCTTAACCAACAGATGGTCCTCGTATTTTCTTCAAAGGACCTTGAGTTTTACCAGCGTTCCGGAAGAATTAAGCAAGAGACTCAGACATATCCAGAGTTGGCATACTCGACTAAACGAAATGATATTCTCTACATATCTGGAGAACTGGTTCCCCGTCATTCCGTCTTTCTTTCCGAGCAACAGACGTATTAATAATCCCACAGTGGAAGAAAAAAATCTTCTCCTAGCGCACTAGCCTAAAGTTTTAGGCGGGAGCGGAAGGAAACCCTGCCGGAAGGCGAAGTGGCGCAGACAATGCTTATTAGTGGATTAGCTCAGGATATTGCTTGATCAGCCATCCATTGAGGCAGCCGGGAACTCTGGTGTGACCAAGACGCGTCTCTTAGTGTGCCGCCCTTGCATGAACGACGCGGATGGCAGCCCTGAGCTAACGATGGGCAAGCGACTGTTTATCCAAGATTTGGCTCGTATCCCTTTGCATATGCCCTGATCCAGCAACTCCCCTGCCTGCCAAGCGCACCGCCTCAACTCTATTGTAGCCAGGCCCGTTTTACTTGTGGCTGTGCGCAGACTGTCCGGAATTCTAGAAAGGGGTTCCCCGGAATGTGCCCGGACTCCGGACGATGACTCGGAAGTAATTGTTCATGCCCATCAGACCGTGCAAAACAAGCAGATAACCTGGAACCACTAAAACCTTTAGCACCTTCTCATACCGGCAGGTCCATTGCTGGCCTCCATTGACGAGCTTCATATTTGAAACACACCAGTGAGCTGAGAGCAGGAAGGACAATTGACTGACTTGAAATCCTCACTATAGACCTACCCTGTAGCTCCAAATCACACGATAAATTTAACACTGTAATGCGTTCAAGATTGTCTTTCCGAGCTTTTTTCTGCGCCGAGGCGAATCCTCCTCAATGGGCGTGTCGGTGTGCTACTGGTCTGTTGATTCCGGGTGCTTTCCGCTTTGTGGCCGAGAGATTGGGAGAGGTGCGTTGGCTTCTACACAGCCATCGTTATCATTGCTCTAAGTGGCCATCAGATTATCCTCGAAATTGCCATCCTCTGAGATGGTTTGGGCAACATCGAGCACATATAATCGAGGCCTAGAAGATTCCCGCCCTCCCGGCTTCGTAGTATTCGGAGCAACACTGACACCAAGTTCTACCTCTCCCTCTAAAACCTTGTGCATCCCTACCTAAGCGAAAGAGAATAAAGTTTAACAGCAATGGAAGCTGCCAGAGCCCGACAACTCAACACAATGAATACGGTACATCCCTACAACTCCTGGCTTCCTCTCCCGTTTTAGATTCCAATCGATCCTTGATACAAATCTCCTTCAGACTTCAATCTGCTCAGTTTTCAATAAGAATCACGCCTGGGTTGAAGCTTCACTGATCCCTAACCCACTCACGCTCCATAGCCAGCTGATATTGGCATTGGTAGTGATAGGGGCCCAGCCTCGGGATTGGGGCGGGCGGTATGAATATATAGCATTCGTTGATCGGGTCGCTTATAATTTTCATCTCCTACAAAATGGATTAGTACCGGGCCACCGGGCGAGACTGGGGTAGCGGGGGGCGGGCTACACCTTGAGAACTAGGCGTGGGAAGGTTGTCGTTGCGGTTCTTTCCTTGGGTCAAATACCTTGCTCCACCTAGTGGCTGCATAGTCAAGAATTGAGTTGATGAAAGCATCCCCTGATCAAAGAGGGGGGGCGTTTAAGGAATGAGAACAGTAGTTTGACTTTGTCGTTTGTCCTGTCTTTCGATGGTAGAATAGCAAATTATTTACCTCCTGCGATCCCCATACGTAGGCCATTCGCACCTTAGTTCCCAACACTAACAAATATCAACACGGGAATGGCTTGATTCAAAGTACGATGTCCCTTCCAGATCTGTCAAGCCATCGAAGCTAAGCCAAGCTTAGTGGCTCAATCGCGATTGTTGGCAAGCAAAGTGTGCACACCACGGCTCTGGCTTCCACAAAGGCCTGCATTTCTCCAGGCATCGAAAAGGAGGCAGGCATTTGATCAACGATACCCTAGCATTACCCCCAGGTTGGGGCTGAAAACAAGGGTCGCTAGCCGATCCTAACAGCGGAGACATACAGAAGAGCCGATGCTGTCCATGGACCCTACGACCGGAATCACTCAGAAAGTCAATGAGAGATGGTCATCTGAGATTCATATGCCCCTCATCCCAATCTCGAATGACGGTAAATAATTAGCTTCAACCTACACTCTCAAGTCCATTGCCAGAGGCTTATGGATTTGGGATCACAGAATGATGGAGAGTTTGCGTGCTCTTAGCTAGAGATCGCTACCGCATAAAACAATACCCCCTTTTATGGGCATCTGCCGACAGAGTATTGGCTCGATCCAGGCGAGTCAGACCACAATTGCTTTGTTTAGCGCTATGGCCCAGATGTGATGCAGCTATTCATGCTAGCGTTGACAACCTCGTGGCCACGGGTCGGAGCAGTAACTCCGATCAGCTAGATCGAGTTGGATCCATCAATAAGCATGCAGGTCCAAGGTGCGATGCAGCTCCCAATTTCCGAAGCAAACAAGCATACCTTACCCCCAAACGGTCGAGAACCAGCACAGTGGGACCAGGCACGCGATGTGTTGGCTTATCCACTCCTATAGCCACATGTCTTGCCTTTTGTTTCTCTCAGACGTCGGAACTTCATCTACGGCGGCTAACACACTCTTTTGTTTTTGTTACATCTATTTGTCTTGCACTCAGCCTTGAGCAGGGGCGTCCATTCTTTCGCTATTGTCACTCGTTCAACGATAATCTCACTTACCTAGAGAACGATGCATTTCACAAACATCTTTCTCTTCGGGCTGGTCGCAACCGCGACTGCCATGCCCCAGAAGAGAGGAGGGAGGAGGAAGTGTTCAAGCGTTATACCCTCCACAACCGGAACCTTCGATCACGTTTCGACAACCCCGATCCTCAGTAGCTCGTCTTCGATCGTCGTCACTCCAAGCTCAAGCGATCACGTTTCAACCCCAACCGTCTCGACTCCGATTTCAAGCAGCGCTACTCCTGGCACCTCCAGCGAGGTAGCCTCGACTCCGATCAGCTCCGAATCCTCTGATACTACCCCCAGCACAACCGCTGCAGCTAGCACGACCCCGGAGAGCTCGACCGTCGCCAGCTCGACTCCAGGCAGCTCCAATGAATCCAGCACCCCGATCGCGAGCTCAACCGATTCTGGCTCTACAGTTCCCAGCTCAACTCCTAGCAGCACAAGTGAATCAAGCACTACGATTGCGAGCCCAGTCGTTCCCAGCTCTACAATCGCCAGCACAACTTCCGTCGCCAGCACAACTTCCGTCGCCAGCACAACTTCCGTTGCCAGCACGACTGCAGCCAGCACGGGTCCTGCTCGGCCCCGACCAACATCCTCCGGAGATCTTCGACCAGGCTTTGAATACACCTCATGCACAAGCCCTGGCGTGGTTGGTCTTGCGTTCGCACAAGGTCCTTACGACTTCACAGCCGAAGCTCTCGACCTCCTCGACGCAGCTGGCTTCAAAGCCACCTTCTTCCTCAACGGAAACAACTGGGGCTCGATCTACGACTATTCAAGCGTCGTCCAGCGAATGTATACCTCAGGCCACCAAGTTGGCTCCAACACGTACGTAGCTAAGCCATCCGCTGTCTCCATCGGCTGTTGAAGCAGACTGTTGAAATCAAACCACTAACCAAACACGTCTAGTTGGAACAATGCCCAACTCGACGCTCTGGACAGTAACGGGATCGAACAGGAACTACTCCAGCTTGAAGATGCCTTGCGCAGCATAATCGGGGTGTATCCTACGTATCTTCTACCTCCCAACGGCAAAACGAACCAATTGGTCCGCGACACGGCCGCAAACCTGGGCTATAAAATCATCAAGCCCGACATCATCACCTATGACGAACAGCACCAAGGGGATATCAGCACGGCCATCAACAACTTCATCGCTGGTCTAGACTCTGGCGGTACCATCGCTCTGGTCCACGACCCCTACCAGGCAACCGTGGAAACTATGCTCCCGCAGATGATCCAAGCGATCGAGTCGAGGGGCCTGACGGCTGTCTCCTTGGGCCAGTGTTTCGGCAGGCCTGTCACTAACTCTTACTCCACGGCTCCTTAGATAGAACGACGAGGATATATGTGCTCTATTATTGGATGTCACGACTTGGCGTTAAATGACTGGTTTTCCATATAATGTTTAGTCCTAATAGTCATAGTGTAATGGATAGCTACGGGCAACTGCATCCAATTCGACTTTTGAAACTCGGTTAGATAGCGCTTTCTCGTGTCAAATATCGTGTCAATCTAAATTTAATCGTGAATTGTAACAGTAATCCATTCTCCAAAGTGGCAGGATGAGACTTAATCGATTGGTTCTAATAGTCAAAGCTCACGCGGAGGGTGACCATCGCCAGGAGGATAGGTATTGATACGGGTTATTTCATATTCTTAACTGTTCTAATAAGATTCATGGGTTGGGTTGACGATACATACATCGACCTTCGTTTCTGCTTCTAGTTCATCACTATTTACAAATTCTTTCAATGTTGTAAGAAAGGCCCATGGCGCAAGGCATAAACAACACGGCCGCTAGATTTCAAATAGGGTATCCAATCAAAAGAAAAGGAGCATATTAATAAAAGACAACGTGTTATCAATCCTGCTAGCTTTTGCGCCAGAAATCATCCTCGTCGGCCAACTCTTAACTTCATCCGCGGAGGGAATTTGATGCCAAAAAGAAGATGGAGAAATAAAGTATCTCCACCGGGGGAAATCCATGACGCTCTCAAACCACTCATGCCTAAGAAATGTGGTGGAGAGATAATCACCGTATTCAACTACTTCTTCAGCCTTGAAAGCTTTTAACTTGCGTGCCGGAAGTTTCAATTCAAAAATGCGGTCAATCTAAGCAACCAACGGAAGTGCCAATCACTACTTCGTGGTGCCCACTTCTCTTCCAGGACACTCCTCTCTACCCATGTCCATTGATGAGCGCGTTCAATAAAGGCTCAATGAGGCTGCCATGCCTTTATTAGTTGGGGCAGGGATCGATCGTCGTCCTTGTTCAAGGCGCCGGAAGCATGGAGTTGCATACACCAATGGGGCGTATCACCAGAAACATCGAATTGGTGGCATTTTCCCATCGCCCGTCGTTTTGAGCCGGCAAAAAAGGCCAGTAGAAACCATTGATTGCACCCTTTCAGGGCTTCCGTAGACTTTCAAAGCAAAGAGGGCGCTCGTCGCCTGATATCGTCCCATATTGTATGGGAAGTGTGAAATGAGGATATGCACTCCTCTCGATGTCGAGTTCTCCACCTAGCCACATGGCAGGCATGACCAGAGCACATGTAGCCAATAATACTGAGGCTCAGTCTTATGATTCATCATTTCCTTAGCTAGAGTACTAACCTGAACACTTTCTTAGCACGGTCTGTACCCAGGAACGAAAGCAACGGCGGAAAGCTCTGTCTTTGGTCTCGGGAGGGAGGGTTGGTTTGGGCTTGACATCGAGTTGGGTCCACGTTGCAAATGAGCCCGAAACCCCGACAACCCTGAGGGACGTTAGACGAGTAATGGGTTTTCAGAATTTTAGGCCGCTTGAAATCTCATTTACCACTCTGAGGAGATGTTTCACTCCATTCCGAGGGCTAATTTCTTAACCACCGAAACTGCATCATAGACCCCAGAAATCGCACCAGAACATCCCATCCGGATAGTTTTTCTTCATTTCAAGGTACCAATCCCCTGGTTCCGCAACAGCAAACGGATCTCAACTGGATGATACTGAAAGAAGAGAATCTTCATGGAAGATGATTGTAAGCTCAATGAAGGTGTTAGGTAGCAGCAAATTCCGGACACGTTTTAGAATTATTTGCACCAAAGTCCATACCACTTACTCACACTAGCGGCGGATGAATGTAATAGTTTCAGCATCCTACATCCCACTGGGGTTTCCAATTCGCCCAGCTTTGATCCTGAGATGCGGGGTATCACAATGGCATGTGAGACTTCCCAAAATGCACAGGCTATCAAATTCCAGATGCCCAAGTTATGCATGTGCAAGGGATGTGCTGGGGGAAGTGAGAGACCTCGACAGTCAGATTATGACACAAATCGGGGTAGGGATAAGCCAAAACCTGTAAGACGAAACACCTGTATTCCTACATATGCGGCTGGCGTGACATGCAGGCGTTGCGGGTCTAGTCCTCAGTTTAGAACCGTATCAACTAAAATCAATTGACTTCGAGGAAGGATTTGTTCACTCCAACTGTAGGTTGCCAATTCAAGGTTCCCAAATGGTTGAGTGTTAGCTGCATGAGTTTCGTCGCTGGTTAAACCCCGTGTTATCCGACTCGTAGCACCTGTCATTGTCGAGGAAACACCAAGTTTTAGCGATCTGGCAGTGGTCGCATAGATGTAACAATGCAGCGCACAAAGAAAAGTGATACCGCCGCACAGAGAGCTTGCCCAGCGGTGAGTCTTGGGTGCCTCTGTACGCGAAACAATCCTGCCGATGAGTAAAGTCGGTAACGCTCATAGATCCCAGGGGTTTATAAGATCCGCGCCGAATCTCAGATTAGGTTTGGGATTCGTCACCCAAGCTAGGGATCTAATTGCCTCATCATGAACTCTAGGTCAGATCTGGCTCGTGATGGATTCGCAGAAGGTGTAATGGATATAACGGCAAGCTTGACCCGATATCATTCCAATCAATAACACCGAAGATTCTCATTGTGGTGAGTTGTTTGCTCTCATCCAAACTCAGCTGGAGCCACACAGACGCGGGACCCTTCCAAGGTGTGACTGATGATGCAAGTGGAGCAGGAGATGGAACGGCCGGAGGGATGAGACCAAGAAAAGCAGAGATTGTCAGATGTAACCCCGCATGTGAGCTAAATTGTTGCTTGGCTCCCTGGAGACGCGCCACCGGTACCGTATCAATCGCCAACCCAGTCGACGGTAGGCATTACACGGGGCAGCCATGTAATTGTAATATTTCGTCACTGCGTTACATGGGATGGGGATGATGGGATATTTGTGTAAGAAGGCCAAACAAGAAATCCTGTTGTTGGCTTCCACGATAACACACGAAATGGCATGATCCATGGCTGTCCCCCCTGCCAATCTTTTTCCAGACCAAGGGTGAAAAGGGGGATGGAGACATTTACGTCAATCCAGCACGGGGTCGCGCCACTAACCAACAATATTGCACTTCAAGCACCCTCAAGAGGATAATGGAGGAATCAGATTCTAGACATAGCGCACGCCGTGCGGGGTCGCATCAGCAGTGCTTCACAAGTCCAGATAGACGTGCCCCATCGTGGAGCGCGCGTCGGCTAACAGTAGCTCAGCCCGACCCAATTCAGCTCATCAGGGTCCCTCAAAGGAACTGGCTCGTGCATGGATGGGTATCAAAGTGTATTCTCTAGCATTCTTAGGTTGATCCACGTCGCACCGGGCCTCCGGTGAGACCGAAGGTGCGATGTGATATCGTCGCTGGATGGTGGGATTCCAGATGGATGGGTCAGATGCCGATCCGCTCTGTCTTGGAGGCCGCACGGCGATGGACACGAGAATTGAGGCTACTGCACTGCCTTCCTGCAGGCATGCACTTACGCAGATGGGTGGTTATGCCCGGTGGCACAGGCAGCACACGCATTTTGCCGGCAGCCATGCCCTGCCAAGCTGGAGACTGCAGTTAGCGGGTTGATAGTCGTATCGTCCACCGCTCGAACCGGCTTGACCTGCAGCGGATCGCCGAGACCAAAACTGGGCCTGTGATTGTGTCTTGCCTGGGTTGGGTCTAGCATCTGGCACAACTCCACGAACGCACCTGAGCAGGCCTCCATCCTTCAGCTGGTCTGGGACGCTTGTCGGCTCGAGGAACACGCTGTGCCTAAAACAGGTTTCTCGTGGTGTGATGCAATGGCAAATGTGTACCACAGCTTGCATCACCCCGCGCCAAGGCATTGATGCAATCAATGCCCTTGGTTGGGTCCATGTGCTGGCAGCTCCGGTATAAAGAATGACAGCTTCTCCCCTCTTCCCCTTCAGTCAGAAAGCTTGTACCATTGAATCCCGAACATCACACCATCCACAGACGACGCCGCTGTCCCATCTTCAACCTTTCATCCGATCACAAAGAATTTCTCTTCAAGATGTCTTACCGTGACAACGACAACGTACATACCTTACTACGAGTGAATTAGTATATCATAGCTAGAGCGAGAGCTAACAAATTACCTCTAGTCCAACACCTACGGTGGTAGCGACAGCTACGTATGTTTTTCACTCACCCTCATACGCCTCTAGTCCAGTCAATTAACATACATGCTAGGGATCCAACCGTGGAGACAACGACAGCTATGGGTCTTCCGGCCGAACTGGCCGCAACGAGTCCGGAGGCGACAGCTACGGCTCCTCTCGCCAGGATGAGGACTCTTATGGCTCTTCCGGCCGCACCGGCGGAAACAATTCTAGCTCATACAACACATCCAGCACCACCAGCGGCGGTACCTATGGATCTTCTCGCCGGGATGATGACGATGACAATTCATACGGCTCCTCCGGCCGCACCGGCGGAAACAACAACAGCTCATACAACTCATCCAGCAACGTCAGCGGAGGCAACACATATGGCTCCTCGCGCAAAGACGACGACGATGACAACTCATACGGCTCCTCTCGCAAGGATGATAACACCTATGGTTCTTCCGGCCGTACTGGCGGAAGCAACACCTACGGTTCATCCCGCAAGGATGATGACGACGATAACTCATATGGCTCCTCTCGCAAGGACGAGAGCTCATACGGCTCTTCTGGCCGCACTGGAGGAAGCAACACCTATGGCTCCTCGCGCAAAGACGACGATGATGACAACTCATATGGCTCATCCCGCAAGGATGAGAGCACATATGGCTCGTCCGGAAGCAACACATACGGTTCATCCCGCAAAGATGAGAACGATGACAACACCTACGGCTCAGGTAACAAGAGCTCCTACGGGTCCAGCAAGAAAGACGATGACGATAACACCTACGGTTCGGGCAACAAGAGCTCTTACGGGTCCAGCAAGAAAGACGACGATGACAACACATACGGTTCAGGTAACAAGAGCTCCTACGGGTCCAGCAAGAAAGACGATGACGACAACACCTACGGCTCGGGCAACAAGAGCTCTTATGGGTCCAGCAAGAAAGACGACGATGATAACACATACGGTTCAGGTAACAAGAGCTCCTACGGGTCCAGCAAGAAAGACGATGACGACAACACCTACGGCTCGGGCAACAAGAGCTCTTATGGGTCCAGCAAGAAAGACGACGATGATAACACATACGGATCCAGCGGAAACACCTATGGTTCATCCACTGGGGGCTATGGCTCGTCTAACCGCCGTGATGACGACGATGACAATAGCAACAATAAGGGCAGCACCTTCGGCAAGGTCTTGGAGGCGGCCGGTGACATTCTGAGCAAGACCAGCCTCGACGACCGCAAGAACCGGGACTAGTCTGGGCAAAGGCCACATGCCCATGGACCGTGAGATGTAATTTTGGTTCTTTTCTTATGTTGCGGATGGGCGATCCTCTCGGATCAAAGTTTATGCTAGCTTAATGAGTATGAAATATGTCTAATTTAACGATTTGCCATTCTAAATCTACAGTGTCAATGAGTCTGTTCATCAAATATTTTGTTCTAGAAGGTAGTATCTGCCGAAGAGCGGAATTATCCTTTCCGAGTATAGACGATGATAAGTATAAGAATCCAATAAGGCCGTATGGGCATCCTCAGAGAAATATGAAGAAAGAAAAGCAGCTCTGTCCACCTACTTATGCGTCAGTTAGTATCACGAACATTGCTGCTGAAATTGAGCCTTGCGACCGTAGCAATCCAGGGCGACATCCCTCGGCTCCGTAGGCCAGTTGTGTGTTCTGTCAGCGATCAAAAAATATTGAAGAGTAAAGCAAAACCATGGTATATAGTGTACATATCGCGATCCTTTTCTACCTTGCTTTTTCTTTCTACTTAAGTCATTCCTAAAGATATCAAATGATCTCTCTTGTTTTGTCTGCGGCCGGCCATACCTGACATCTGCTCAGAACCAATAAGCCTTCTTTCAGCAGATGAAGAAGCATGTGAGTCGGCACAGACCAAGGTGCTATGACTGAGAGTAATTGAAGATGGCGGATTTATAAAAGATATCAACTCATCACGCACAAGCTACCCTCACGTGGGGAGCTTGCTGTGGTAGATAATATCTTAGTTGAGCGATACGGGGAAAACATTATACGTCGTTCTATGATAATACTTCATCGTATTAGCCAAAGACATCTTTTAATATTAGCCTACCTCTGCCGCCTGTCTTCATTCTTAATCACAGATACCTTAGGTAGTCTAAAAACGACTTATGGGTCAGATCATTTTCCATACTCGCGATGATACCACCCTATAGCAAGGATAAATCGTAAGCTCTCGAAGCCAATAACTAGTTTAGGGGTTATTGATTCGTGCGGCGCATGCCTCCAAGTAGATTGAAAGTTGTCTGAGTCTCCTTTGAACAGCTAGATAATAAAGGAAGTTTGTGGACCCTTAAATCCACGAAGTTTCTATCTTAAGATTTCCATACTCTTTCTGATCCACCGCTTTGTACTCTAACGTGAAATTATCCCACCCACGAATTACTTTGTAGTCTCTGCCGCGGGGATGGCGATAGCGCGGACCAAGATGGATGCAGAAGGTAAGGTCATATTGTGAAGAGGGCAATTGGGGCCACTGCCAGAAACTCGGGAATAACTTTCAATTTGCAGACTCTCACAGGTAAATATTTGCTTCAAGCATTTTCCCGCTTCAGTCAACAATTTGCCGTCTCATAATACCGAGGGTTCTGGACAAATTGCGCTGTAACCGTCAATCATTTACCCCTCTTGGTCCCCGGATCGACTGGTAAGATCACTTCTGAAATATTGTCCTTTTTAGAGAGGAACAGGTGATGCACGGGCTTGAGTTGCGGTGATGATTTGAATGGTTTGGGTCGCGAGAAGCCGCGCTGCTAGTTGCCACAAGCGGAATAGGGGTGTTTACCCAGATGCAGTATAAATCCAACATCGACAATACATTGATGGGTCGTGTATAAAGATCCCGCATTACTATTAATGGCAGCTACATGAAGCTAGATGTAGCCTACTTTCAACCCAAAGCGATTCCATGCGGTGAGCATCTGCTCAGGAGGATGACTTTAAGCTCAATTCACCGTAGACTCTCTGCTCATCCCATCAGCGCCCACGTGGGGAAAGGAATAGGAAATAAGAATCAATATAAAGAGACATGTGGTAAACAGGGCGGCGGCGAAATTTGAAGGATTCAACTGCCGAGCAAGTTGAAAACCCAGAAATGGTTTGGTGCTCAGGGGCCAGTCACGCCAGGAACGGGCGGTTTCATACAGAAAACTGCTTCTCGGGCGCGCGCGTCGGGATGTCCGGGTTTAATGTTTGTCATGAGTGTGTCACTCCAGGATGGCGTTCCATTTGCCAAGGCAAGGAAAGGGATTCACCAGGGGCGAGTTTTCCACTTTCACTCATCCTTACAAAGTAGGACATAAGTTTGGGCAATATCAACAGAGCGGAGCCTCTAAAAATCACCACCGCCATGAGGATTCCTGATCCAGGATGGTTTAAGAATCCAACAGGGCTTCATTATCCGAGCCTGTTCCGAGCCTGCCTCTCAATCCTAGGTGCTTCCCCTTGGCTCGCAACGACTAATATCTAATCAGGAGATACCCGCAGGCACACGTCAGCTACCTCTGGGCAGCTAGCTTCATAAGTATTAGACGGGCTTTGTTCTAGCCTCGACAACGGACCCACGCTTGGAGCAGTTCATTGATGTTTCTATAAAAAGTAGAGCATAGTGTTACATCCCCATAGCATGACAAGGGGTGGTGAACTCGGTAACAATCTAGAAGGTTACGCCCTTAGATCAACTCCACGTTATTGAAGTGGAGAATGATGAACAGCTCCAAGATCACGCTCAACTCGAAATCTAGGCCCCCTCCCCTTCTAATCTCCAACAAATTATCCTCTCCTTCACCAGTCTTCCTTGCGAATGTTGCAAACTTGTACTCTAACCCTCTCTGGTCCTTCACAAACCCTGAAGACGGCATTAGAGGAAGCGGGTTGTCCCACCAGAGTTCAAAGAATGGCTCTACAGTGCCTCCCGTCTTCCACGTGAGCGGGCGAGGCGTTGCTGTTCTTCCAGGCACCGAGATAACTGGGATATCGGACTGGTACTTGGGGAAGGAAAACGAGGTCGTTCGAGTTACAGGGCGCCAGAGCGCGTCGGGCAGAGCAGGAGAGTATGTGCAGATTGTGGCTACAGGCTGGCCTTTGCCTTTTGTGAGAGGTAGCAAGCGCGCCGCAGCAATAGCAGGAAGTCCGCTATCGGAAGCAGAGAAGATTTGGATATCGCCGACTTTGGAAGGTGAGGTGAGTTCAATGCGATACAGAGGTGTAGGGTCGACTGTGAGAGCAAGATGAAAGCTCCTAGCCGAGTCACGAACAATCGTGAGATAGTTGACTTGGAGATCCCGGATTGAGCATGTCTGCACGGGACCAGTAATAGAGCCGGTGCGAGGGGCTGTGATGTCGGTGAAAGGCTGCTTCTCCTGGTAGGCAGGCAAGTTGTCTGTATTAGAGGCCATTTTGGGTTGTGAGAAGATTGATGATAGCGTCTTTAGGGCTGTAGAGCTTGTAACAGAGTGATTGATGAGTAGAAGAATTGATGGAGAGCGCGTCAGCTTGGCGAGCATGCGACAGGTATAAGGCCTTGCGGGCATCAGTCCCTCAAACCCCACCTTCGCGTCACCTCATTCTACGCTCGTTCTAGGGGTCTTGCTACTCAGCCAGGGACTACCGGTGGAAGGATTCAGCACGTTTCCCTGGTTTGATTGGCTACAACTCTCGCTTAAAATACATGCCGGCAGCCCTAGGAATCATCCCCTGGCTGATGTTTGCACGTTCTCGATACACTCCTCTGATTGGTCAGGCACTATCGCGGAAAACACTATACCAATTGCCGACATACGACTGAACCACTATCTGGGAATCGCCCCAATTGCCATGCCCTGGTTGTTCTTTTGCACGTTTCTGCTATACCGGGGGCTAATTGGGTTCGGTAGCTTCAGATCTATTTTTGGGATTGGGGATGCAATCAAACATGATGCAGGGCTCGGTGAGCATCAGAGAATCTGGGATATATAAGAAGCTGGAAGGCCGGCTTGACAATCGTATTGAAAACAGCAGCAACAACAAAAACAACAATTACATTCTTCTCATCTCTTTCCCAATACTTTTTTCCTTTTTCCCTTTCTTTCTTTCTTTAAAGAAATACTTCTTCAATTCTCATCATGCGCTTCAACTTTGGCGGAATTCTCTTGGCCCTGGCGGCCACCACCCAAATCGCAACCGCTAACCCTGCCCCAGCCAAATGGAACGGCAAGGGCGCTGAGGCTGGGTAAGAATCTTGATCTCGATCCGTTGGCGTTCTCCAGGCTAATATTTCCACAGCTACAAGTTTGGTGCCGTAGCCTGCGCTGCTGGTGCCCTTGTTTGCAACTCCCAGGGCATGACAGTCGGAGCTTACACTCTTGGAAGCGCTGCCTTCTGCTGCAGCACCGCCGGAGCTGCAGTCACTGCCTCCCAGTCTGATGGATGGAAGAAGGCCTGGACTGCCGCGGCCAACAAGCTCGGCGACGCCGCAAAGATGGCCAAGGGCGGAATTTCCAAGGTTGGAAAGCTAGCTACCGAGTGCAGCGACAAGGTGTGCAGACTGATGCCCGGCAAGAAGCAACCCACCCTTCCCAGAAGGGCCATCGACGGGCCCAAGCCCAAGAGGTCCCGACGCAGAAAGTCGCACTCTCACGATGGAGGCGAGGGAGAGCGACGTGCTAGAAGGTCGGTCAACTATCAGCGCAGTGCCAGGCGGTCTGTCGACGGACTCGAAAGCCAACTCCGTGCCAGAAGGGCCTTCGACGCCGAGTACGACTACGACTACTAGAGGGAACGGGAATTACATGCAGGTGGATCGATGGGCCTGGCAGGGGGAGAGGGGACTGTAATTCTTAGTGCATTCAAGGACAAGCAAGCAGACGCTTTTGTGTATTTACTAGATTGATTTCGGGTTGGGTTGTTGGAGAGCAGGAGTAGGAGAGTCACAGGTGTAGAAAAATCGAGGTGTTCATTTGAAAAGAGTCCAGCCAGTGCAACATTGCAGAGCTACAGGCGGAGATGTCACTGCTGTAGACCCTGACCCTGACTATCAGCCCTATCTTACAGCGGTCCACGGCTCTATCTAGCGCTAATCACGGGCCATCAAGGCACTAGACTCGCCCCTGGAGAATCCCGACCCACCTTCAATTCGTCGACCAATCAGCATGGCAGCTGCTTCCGACTGTGGAGACAGTGGATGGGTCTTTCCTCCAGGCTCGTCACCCAAAGCCCCCGATTTCTGCCTAAAACAAACTCGCGATCCTGGTCGCGAGCATGACGCAAAGCTGTCACGTCGAGCTCACCAGATGCGATAAATCCCCTTTGCCTCCAGTCAATCTACAGCCTGCAATTCAGCAGCTATCCCGCGCGCGTCAGCCATGTCGCAAACCCAGAGCCAGGGAGCTACCCTGTCCAGCCTACCCGACGAACTGCTAACTCCCATTCTGCGGGAATCGGTCAAGATCGACTACGTTCCTGTCTTGAGGCACTCCAAAACACATATTTTCAAGCCATGTGATTCTCCCACGACGACAGCGCTGGCTCTCACCTGCCGACGCTTCCATCGGCTCGTCACGCCGCTCCTCTACTCCGAAATTGAAATTCAGTGCAATGGTGCGTGCGAAGACAAGTTTGAGGAGATCTGGGTGACCAAGCACCTGCATCGCACGTTCAGCACGACCCCTTCACTGAGGACACACTGCAAGAGACTTGAGATTGAGTTTGGTTCCTCCAAGCAAATTTCCAGGGCATTCTTTGATAGAGAGTCGCCTCAGAGAAACCTCTTCCACATTGCCTTCGACTTTATCAAGTGGCTCACCAACATTGAAGAGCTTCGCATTGCTGGCTGGCCACAGTATCCAGACTCCTGGAGGCAGGGCCTTCCTGTTTTAGCTCCTTCCAGGGATGATTATCTTCAACTTCTGTCCCTCGCGTCGGAACGTCTGACCAGTCTACGACACTTGGAGCTAGCCACGCACAGTGCAGCCGCTCTAGATCTGCCGGTCCTGTCCACCGCACTCGGTGGGCTGGACACTAGCGCATGCCTTCGGACACTGGATATCAGTGGGATCTCCAGCTTTGGAACTAATCAGGACTGGGAGCTGCTGAGGGTAAGAGAGCTTCTTCTTTGGCGTCAAAACCACAAGCTTCAATTTCGATACATGTATACTGACCTTTTATGTAGACTCGAGCAGGCACTGCGTCGTTCACCCAGCTCAAATTAAGACATTTCAACTTGGGACCGACGGCACTTCTGGCGCTCGTCATGTGGCCAGCCAAATTGACATCGTTTCAGTTTGCAGTACCTCTGTCTAACCACAATTCTTGGCAACATGGCGTGATGGCATACAACTTGGGCATAATGCAGGCCATCCTATCCCAGCAGAAAGATTCACTTACCTATATCAGGATGGACCAACTTTTGCAGCAAGGGCTCTACAGCTTCAACATGGCTGAATTTCGCAGCCTAAAGGTTCTATGGTTGGCGCATGACTTAACTGGAACCGATCCTGAGTCTGTTGCCAATCTTCTTGCACCCAACTTGGAGGTGTTTCATTGGAACCTGATGCTTGAAGACCAGAGGCGGGGAGAGAGCCTTGATACGTTCGAGAAGCGTGAGGAAGACTGGCTCAGGGCATTCGCAGCCGCCGCCATCGCGGGCAATTCGACTCTTCGCCATATCAAAATCAGATTCCTCCCCGAGGCACAGATCTTCCGTGAAGACAAGACGGGTGTTGAGTATCCTTGGGATCGGATGGATAGGATTGCGAGCGAGATTCAACCTCACGGGATCCATTTGTCATATAGCCCCATAAGCGTTAGCAGGGAGAGGTTCAATGCCCTGGTCAGGGTCCCCAAACGCTGGCAATCAATAGTATCGTGGGCCAAAGCGTTGCAACGGCCAGGCAGTGCTCCTCCTTGAGGGGCTGGGTATCAATTCTGATCGCGTTCTTTATTTTGTTTCCTAGCAAGTCCGAAAGATACGAAGTTACGAGCAAAGACTATTCAACTTAATCCTAATATGTTTGATTCAAGTTTCGGCAGCTCACTCCTCAGTGTCTCTCACGCCTCCCATGTGATATCAATGCCAGTTGGAGACTTCCAACGGGACCTTCCTGTATCTTCGCCATGGTAGTTGAACATGGTCTCGTCGCGGTCGAGCTTCAGAAACCAGCTGGATGCTGGGCAATGTTCCTATTTCCAATTTTCTCGCTCCTCAACAACAAATGGTCTCATGGCCCAATGGCAAGGCGTCTGACTACGAATCAGGAGATTGTGGGTTCGATCCCCACTGAGACCTTTGAGTTTCCTTTTTGCTCTTTCCTGGCTCTGTTGTCTGATTAGATCCTCGACGACGCGCTTCTTTGTTCATAATGCTCGGCAGAAAGATGATTTCCGTTGCTCCCCTTCCAGTTGTTGTGGCTCTTCAGGTGCAAGACAAGGAGTGTCTCATTAGTTTCTGCTTTTTTACTTGGTCATTCTTTTCTAACACTCTACTATCCTCAACCAAATCAGACCTGGATACCAATGAAGTCTCAACCATCCACGCAGTACCTAGAGCTAGGTTGTTCTTGCCCTGGATGGATCGAAGTGGATGGCTTGGTCAGTAGGCTGGGTGAGGGTTGAAAAATCCGACGATTGTATTCGGCTTAGGGCGTTTGAGATTAGTCTCTCGGTCCTCACCACACGTAGACTCTCTCAGGATCAGTGTGGATCCTCTTGGGGGAAGACTCGGCACGTAGGAACATGCGACGACAGATCGTTGAGGCACCGCGATCAGGCACCAATGGGACGCGATCAATCAACTTTGGACAAACGAAGTTTTTCTCGGAGGGGTTTGGATAATAATTGAACCGCGCCGATAAAGCGAATGTGGCTCAATTATCTGATTGTCTATGTCTACAATGTACCACTAAGTCATCGTGAAGTGTTCCAACCATGAATGATGAACTAAATTGGAACAAGGGAGTTGAAAGACAGTACCTATTAAAAATGTACAGATCGTGAACTAGCAGGCCACATTAACTAACCTCGCTCAACATAGCTCGAGCGAATGTTTCATACCGCCCATGAGACGCATCTCGTGAAGATAACTTGCGAGAGCTGTAGGGTAGGGCTTTGAGCCGGGGATCATTCTCATCGGGAAATTCGATCGCCTATCAACCACAAGGTCTCATGGCCCAATGGCAAGGCGTCTGACTACGAATCAGGAGATTGTGGGTTCGATCCCCACTGAGACCTTCGAACTTTCCTTTCCACGTTCTAGGAATACTCCGAACACAACGTGGGTTCTTTTTTTTGCTCGGTTTACCTCTCTCTAAGTAGAGTATCTGTTCAGCCTTTCTTTTCTCACCTTCTCAATGTCTGAAGAATCATTAAATTTAAAAAATCATGCAAAAAAGTCATCGACATCGATCGTGGACTAGATATTAAATTTTGACAAAAGTTAAGGGTCTGGCCGGGGATTGAACCCGGGACCTCTCGCAATCAATGTTTAGGGTTTGCCCTAAGCGAGAATCATACCGCTAGACCACCAGACCGTGTCTTGTATACCACACATCATCACGTGATGCTCCTTGATGGAAAGGCGTTCACTCTGTCCAGATATGAATCATCCAAATCTGAGGCTGATTTTCCCTGGTTAAGAGAAGATACGTCAGATTTCATCATTGCCATTTACGCAGCGGCGTAGATGATGACTTGTGCGAACTTCTGGTGAAGATCATGCGCTGCTTTATCACGCTGGCCCGCAGGATCTCAGCTCCGTCCCTGCCTCCTCACGGAGAATCATACCGCTAGACCACCAGACCGTGTCTTTCACATTATTACGTAATGCTCGTTGATGAATTAGCTCCCACTGTGTCCAGATATGAAGCATCATCCAAATTTGAGGCTGATTTTTCCTGGTTAAGATTCTGTGTGCCGACCTGTTACATTGTCGCTGGGACATTTTGCGGCTCCCGAAGTCTGCGCTGATCTTGTCCCTCCCCAATTCCAGGAAATTGCGATGATGTTCCGTGGTGCGCGTACCCGGCCTATTTAGCCCCCTCCCGACTCTCATTTCATTCTACCTTTAGTGCGCACCGGATATTTCCATTGTTCGTGTCGGATTGCTCATGGCAATTGATGAGAGTTGCAGGAAGCTAAAATTTTCTTTTTTCTTCCCAATCCAAAAAGACACGAACAAAAAAAGGTCAGATGAGGTTTTGTTAAGGTCCCGGGGGGAGTCGAACCCTCGCTGACAGGATCAAAACCTGTAGTCATAACCGTTAGACCACGGGACCGGTAATTGATTCGCAGAGCCCCATCATGAGGACAAAGAAGGTCACCTTCCCAACGCCTTGATCACGAATTGTCTACCTATTCACCCAGTGACCATTTTGCAAGGGACTCTGTGATGGTGTCATCCATTCAACAATATGCATTATGTAAGTTTTGGTTATGAGAGCTAGTAAATACAAAAAGCCGCTTTTCCGTCCTCGTTTCTTCATGTACAGGCAATCTCCGATGTCATCGCTGGTGCTTTTCATCCCCTCGCTGGTCCAGCCAGTCCAGAGACGCCATCCGCTTTTCCCATCTGAATGTAGTCCATCACCTTCCTGAGTTGTAAAATTCCCAGGGTTTTCTATCCTTTTGGACACTACGGACTTGTTTGAAAAATTCTGCGGAATCTTGAAACTTCCTTCTTCTCCTTCTTAGAAGATTGCTTAATAGATGTACGGTTGGCCCATAAGAGTCCCACCAGGCTCGATATAATAACAGCCTCTTCCCCGAGATCCAGGGTTTCAGAAAGTAGAAGAATCCCCTCGGTCTCGGCCTTATTACCTCCTTTGCCAGTAGGATGAAAGTGTTGGTAAAGTGCTTTGGGGTATGATACACTCCCCTTTCTGGCGAAAAGGGGATAGAGCTCGTGAAGCTCATACGTGACCATGTCGGACTCTGACGGCCGCGCACGCCACTCTAGGTTGGGGGAATTTGGCCCGTTCCCTTTGATAACGAAAGAAGGAAGCTGTGGACCTGCTCGCCTGAACGTCCTTCTGGAGGCTGGAGAAGACACAGAAACGTAGCACAATGGTAGCTGGGCGGGTGCTACTACTCGAACACAGAAGCCGTCGTCTAGACTGGACGGTAGTGACCTGAAATGGTGTGCATTAGTATAGGATAATCTGGGGGTTTTGCTCGACGATTTCATACATGTTGATCTCGCACCTGTCTCTATCCAAAGTCCGTTCGGTGAGTGCAGCCACATGTCTTGCCGGATCGTAGTCGATGAGGAACCGAACATCGTCGTTCCATGAATTCCCAGAGGGCCTCTTGATGGAGTCCAGCTGCGTCCGGCTAGCCCCCGCGCTGTCGACCCCATGATGCCCAACTGACTCCCTGTAGCTGTCGGTAATATTGTATAGTGGTAGATGCGTGGTACTGTTGCTATGGCTCGGAAAGTATAGAGCTCGAGTGAGAAACGGTGCCTGTGAGGTTAAGCTGTATCTGCTTAAGCTATCGGCTGATCCCGCGTACGTCAAGGGCGAGGAAGCCCCGGCGAGCAGAGTGGACATGCCGAGTTGGGTGGCCATTGTATTAGGTATTACGAATGAATAGGATGATGAGCCTCTCAACTGAGAAGTGTCCACGGGTGGGATGCGCTTATAAAGGCACTGGCACTCGTTTGCGGGCTGACTGGCCGTTGAGGGTGCATATTCCGGCAGTTTGACAGCGGGTGAGGAATGCAAAGAAAATCTGCGATCTGCAAACGAACCAAGACAATCACTTAATTTCCTCGAAGCAAACATGCAGGCACAATCAATCTCGGAGAAAGGTTTGCAAACGGACTGTCAATGTGGATCATTCTGAAACAGCCGTCAACCCACAAACCTGCGATGGAGAAGCAAACGAGGGCTTTTTGTCCCACGACAGCTCAATCGGATGGGATGAAACATGACTTCATGCACAGGCTGCGCGTCCGCTCTGCTTGGCAAGTTGACTGTTGCGAGAGAATTTCGTAGGGCTGCCCCGTGAGAATCTTAACGTCAAGCATGGGAAATTATCGAGGGACGATGTGAGACACGGAAGGGATAATTGAGCATGGTATGGTAGGGTAATTAATGTCGTGAAACTTCCGCTTGCGGGAGTGCACTAAGGTCTGAGACCTCGATTTTGGCACATCGACCGAGTCAGTCAAACGCATACGTAGTGTAGTAGCCATTTTGCTTTACACCTCCTGCGCTGAAGAGCCAAAGACGTTACAGAGTCCTGCCAGTGTATTTCATCCGCTTGGCGCGGGACACTGATCTGATGAGTTCTTGACTCATTTCATTAACCCATTATGTTGATCCTCATGAGCCCAGCAGTCAACTCGGGGAATTCTTGTTTCCTTGGCCCATTTAGTGCCCGACTCGCTGCAAGTCGATTCCCCTGATCGGCGTTTGTCCTACATTCCTCCTGTTAAGGTAGCATCGCAGCACTTGCATTAGACATTGAACATTTTCGGTTCTCCATGCATTAACAAAAAGGAAAAAGGCAAGAGCTTCAAGTGCAGACCCGTTTTTAAAAAGCAAATGTTGCGGAATGACTGCTCCCACAAGCTCGAATTGAGTTTTCGTCTCACTGGGGCTATGCGGTTGAAAGGGGATGGTTACAACAAGAGGAATAAGAGTGATTATATGACCAAGCCCTGAGCACAAAGCAGGGAACTTTTGAAAGTTTGGTTCGTGTTTAGCATTTTCTATTATATTGCAGGCTTGATAAGCCTGCTCTTTCCAATGGCTGGCTGTGAGATACGAGACAAACGGGGGGGGGGAGGTATGATTTTACATGAGGAGCGAATGGACACTGGTAACCTTCGATCCCATAGTATATTCATGAAGAAATTGGAACTCATATCTTTTGAAATAAAGTTTCCAGAGCCCACACCGACGATACCAATCGTTATCATGTCACCTGACTCGTAATGAGGCGATCGAGCCCATATTTCTTGGCCCCTGCTCAAATCCCGCATCCTACCATGCCATTGATATTTCCGAAATGCCGCGATCCCACCATCCATCATCACGCTGTTTCATGAGAAATGATGAGATAATGTGGGACTAGAACGGGAATAGCCAACTCTATTGGAAACGCCGCTTCTCCAACTCTCCTTCGGTAGCCTTTTGCCGTGGCGATCGTTTTCCGGTTTCAATCCAATGGGTTCGGCTCCGGCGGCGACATTGCGCAAGGCATGCGCCCCTTGCCACACGCGGAAAATCAAGTGTGACGCTGCAATCACGGGCCTGCCGTGTGGGCGATGCATTGCTAGAGGGTGCAGCAATAGTTGCATGAGGCCTCTTCGGCATGCCAGAGCGTGAGATAGACAACCATCCTTTCTCGACATGTTCTGCTAATCCTTTTGGACCTAGGAGAAAGCCCGGCCGACCAAACCAAGAAAAACAGCAGGAAGAGGGCCAGTCTCTTCAAGACACAAATGTAAACACTATTGATGATACATCTGGCTGTGTAAGCCAACCCTGTTTCAACAACTTTTCCCTAGTGTTTCATCATCCTTTACTGACATTTTAGACTCTCCATGTCGGTGCCCAATCTACTCCTGAGTATCAATTCCAACATAATTCAATCACACCTCAAGTTGCTCAGGATGTTGAGCCTATTACCCACGAAGACCAGGCTCGAATGCGCACCTGCCATGAAATATCGGGTGGAGGGGATCTTGTCTCGGCACATACCATGACCTCGCCTGGCCAAGGTAGGGATACCGTTGAGTACCGCAACGGCCTGAACTTCATATCCGCTTTGGGAGAGCTGGTTGGGAGCCAGAAGCCACGGCGTTTAACAAGAATTATGGCCCACGACTCAATATTGGATTCTGAAGATCAGAGCCAACAGCAGCAAACTTCTGAACAGGGCCCAGCTGTATCTAGACTGGGCGCTGCAGAGTTGGCATTGCTCGAATCAAAAGGAGCACTCTCGCTTCCTCCTAAGGCTTGTTGGTATGCTTGCAATATTCCTCCTCTCTTGGTCTCGAGCGATGTGAGTATTCTGATATTCTATGATAGCGACCAGCTGTTGAAGCTGTACTTTGAGATTTGTTATGTGAGAACGCCAATCTTCAATCGCATCGAGTTTTGTAGGGCGTACGACTCGGATCAACCATCACTATTCCTCATGAATGCGGTATTTGCCAATGCTGCCCAGTATGCACCTATTGATCTCATAGAAAGGTGCGGTTTCAAAAGCAGGTCTTGTGCTCAAAGAGCCTTCATTGCGCGAGCCATTCTTCTTTATGATCTGGGCCATGAGACTGTTCAGCTGCGTCTTTTACAAGGGTCGGTTGTGCTGGGTGCTACTGTCTTCTCATATACACGCGATAAAGACTTCCGATTTTGGATGCATAATGCGTCTCGCCTCGCAGTGAAGATGGGACTTCACCTTAGGTATGTGGTAGTAAATAATTGAATTGAGTACAGTCTGACAAGGACTCCATAGGGAAATAGAAGGGGAAGTTGACCCTGACACATTCAAGCTATGTCGAAGGATATGGTGGGCTATATACGTGAGTATACCTGTGTCCAAAACGATAACAGGACTAACGATTGATGATGGAATTAGAGCCGTGATATTATACTGCACTTTACTGGATTGAGGAACATGCGAATGCTTGATCGTACTGACTATGACATGACCCTTCTCTCAGAGGATGACTGGGAGAGTGATGAGAGCATCCCCGATCAATTTTGGTCTATACTGTCTCCTATCTCTCGCCAACAAAAGCTCTTTCACATAGAGTACGTGAAGCTTACGCTGGTAGGTAAGTTTCAATCCCTTTCTCTCACACAAGTAAGAGGGGGCACTGATGAAGACTACCTAGGAGAGGAATGTCTGTTGATTGTAAAAAGCCGCCAGGATTCTACAGATAGTCAAGAAGTCGAAATCTCAACACGCTTCTCGTCGTGGAGAAAAGCAATTCCCCACGTACTAAGTATAGATGAGCATCCATCAGCTCCTGGCCAAAATAAACTGCCTATTACCCTGATGGCGGCTAGCTACAGGTTTGAATGCATATTGTATCATGTGCTGATGCGGAAGTACCAAAAGAGCAAGAATGATATATATCCTCGGTGCAGAGATCGGCTTCGAAGGTCAATTTTCCAGCTGGATACCTTGATTGGTAGAGCCATAACGGATGGGCTCAGTGGGGTATATTCTCAAACTCTGTAAGCTCTCAATACGCCTTTCCGATATTTGCAAAGTAAAGCTTACATGATCAGTGTCGGGTGTGTTAACACCAGCTTGGCACTTCGCATAGAATCCAGCCTCCAGCCGCAACAAAGCCACCTGGACAAAATGCTAGATTACAACTCGATTAGGCAGAGCATGTTATTCTTGAGGGAGGTGAGCGATCTCCCTAGTGTTCAATGGACCCTGGGTGTATTTGAATGGATTCTTGGCCAGAAAGGCTTGTTCAGTGAGGTTGGATTGACTGAATCAGGGATTCATGGACTCGAGAATGTGATGGGGATGGACACTGTCACCGAGGATGAAATAAGATCGACCCTGACAAGCAACCAATACTTCGGAGCTCTGGATACCGCGGATCAACTCGACAATTTTCTGTACAATGATGACTTTGCCGGCTACATGGGACTTGGAGATATATAGATGGCATATGGCGTTTGGGATTTCTATTCGGTATGTCACACAATTTAGAAGTAATTAGACGTCATCTTAGACGGAAAAAATATATGTGGAGCAATGGTAGAAGGTTTGCCAAAACGTCGAGATAATCATATTGAGGGTTGAGTAAAGCTGTGGGTGTGACATCACTTCTTTCTTTTTGAAAAAGTTTTCACTTATATAGCCCCGCTACCTATTAACTTAAAGGGATGGGAGAGCGTGATGGATGATTCTGGCCGTTATCTCGATCACGTCGTGAATTTCCGCTGATCTGTGAGGCGGAATTTCAGGTTTCTGCAGAAGCCGAAAAGCCGCCATGTCCCCACATGCGGCTCTAGATATAATCCATATTCTTTCCTTTCTCTTCATTCATCTATGTTGAAACTTCTCTAGTGAGTGTATAGATTTTAGTTTTATCTGTTCCTATTTGTTCTTGTTCTCGATCTATCTTGGCCTTCATAATGTCCGAACGTAAAGGCGAGGATGGCCCTGAGCCCACTCGAATACCATTTTGGCGGATGATGTTTGATCATTCCGGCATCACCTCAGACGTCCTCAACTACCAATATCAGGGATCTGGGACGAAGGATGATCCGCATATTGTTACATGGATTCCAAACGACCCAAGAAATCCAATGCTTCTGAACAAGAGGTTTAAATGGTCTATTGCCGTGTTCGAAGCACTCTCGACAACGGCCGTTGCCCTCGTCTCTTCCGCATACACCGGTGGCATGGACCAAATCATCGAGGAGTTCGGTATCGATCATGAGGTGGCTATCCTCGGCGTGGCATTGTATGTTCTTGGATTCGCCGTGGGGCCATTGCTCTGGGCACCGCTTGGCGAGTTGTTCGGGCGACAGATGATCTTCTTCATTACATTTTTAGGACTCACGGCCTTTAACTGCGGTGCAGCAGGCAGTCCAAACGCGCAGACTCTGATCGTTCTGCGCTTCCTGGCAGGCTCCTTTGGAGCATCTACTTTTACAAATGCGGGCGGTGTCATTGCAGATATATTCGAGGCCTCAGATAGGGGCCTTGCCATGGGCATCTACTCAACTGCTCCATTCTTGGGTCCCGTGACTGGTCCAATAATAGGGGGGTTCCTAGGGGAAGCAGCCGGCTGGCGATGGATCCTTGGATTTCTGGGCGCACTGACGGGATTCTTCTGGATTCTCGGCTGTTTACTTGTTCCCGAGACGTATGCTGTTGTTTTGCTTCGGAGGCGAGCTGAGAAACTATCCAAAATAACTGGAAAGGTTTACATGAGTCGCAAAGATGCTGAAACTGGTGAAGTTTCTGTTCAGAGAGCCCTTGGAACTGCACTCTCCAGACCGTGGATTCTTCTGGTAAAAGAGCCTATCGTCCTCCTTCTTTCACTCTACATGGCAATCATATACGGGACTCTGTACCTGTTTTTTGCCGCCTTTCCTATTGTATATCAACAACACCGAGGATGGGACCAAGGAATTGGAAGCCTTCCTTTCCTTGGGTTATTGATTGGGATGATAGTAGCAATCATCTACTGCATCCCCGAAAACAAACGCTATATACGAATCGTCGAGAGAAATGACGGCCTGGCACCTCCTGAAGCCCGGCTTCTCCCGGCGCTGGTAGGATCAATCCCACTCCCGGTTGGGCTTTTCTGGTTCGCTTGGACCAATGGCCCCGAAGTTCATTGGTTGGCCAGTGTCGCTGCTGGCATTCCATTTGGGTTTGGCATGGTTCTCGTGTTTTTGAGCGTCATGAACTACTTGGTCGATGCGTATACGATCTTCGCAGCTTCCGTTCTTGGAGCCAACACTTTCTTGCGATCTCTTTTTGGCGCGGTTTTCCCACTCATCGCGACATATATGTACAACAACCTCGGTATTCATTGGGCATCAACCATACTGGCATTTCTATCTCTAGCCTGTGTACCGTTTCCGTTTCTGTTTTACAGGTACGGTGCTGTGATTAGGCAAAAATGCGCATATGCTGCTGAGGCAGCAGCACACATGAAGGGGCTACAGCATGATGAGGGAGGCGAGTCTTCACAAAGCGAACAGAGTGATGGGACCATGGTGGAGATTCAAAGGGGGAATATAGTTTCTCCTGCTATGGTCGAGCACGAAAAACATGCTCGCGAGCAGACATGAGGTTGATCAAGTGGGTGAAAAAAGACACGGGGATGGGCGCTCATCTGGATAAGATCCGATTTCATATCAATCAGTTCGATAACATGCTGCTTCAGATCCAATGAGGGAATTATGATGAATACATCTACATCACGCGAGCGGGTTCAAACAGCATATAGAATAATTTGGAAATACTAGAGTAGAGAGCATCTTCATGCTCGGAGTCTGACTAGAGAGAGGTATTCTCCCTGTATTACCTAGAGCACACTTTTTACCATAGACCGATTAAATATATAGAGCATACTTAGCTCAATGGAAGTTGAAACCAGTCAATGGTGGTGCCATATCAAGAAAAGGGGGGACCATCACACAGTCTCAAAGGAATTCCCCAGATCATCTCACCACAAAATGGTGAACCCGACATCACCTGCACATTTTCTTCGTCTTATCAGCATAGAGGAGATAGGATTTCTTTTCCCGGTCATGGTTGTCCACGTTATCCCTGTCAGAAAAGGCTTACCGCTTCAGACGCTCATGCTGTCACTGTCGGGACCTTATCATACCAGGGTGTACATATAGATAGAGAAAGTTCCGGGGATGTTGGAAAGCATGATCTGCTATCATCGGATCAACAACTCTAAGCCCTGTTTGACATAGCGTTAGATTTGGGTGGTCTCTTTATCTCAGTTAGTGTCAAGTACTCCTTACAGATCTCTGGTGTCGTCAGCGGTCCTACGTAACCCCTTTCCCCATTCGACCAGCATCACAGCAATTGATATATGACGGCTTGATTTAACCACAAGGTTCAATTGAATTCATTCTCATAAACTAAAAAAAAATTATATCGTGATAAAAGATGATGGGGTAATGTCGCTAATAGAGTATCAAGGTTTATAAGAAAAATGAGGAAAATTCCAGCACCGATTTTTTTAAACAGCAATTGCTTGCCGAATCACAGCCTCCACAGGCTCCAGCTGAGCAGCATCGCCAGCAGTCGCGGCGATAATGCGAGCCATGGACTGCTGAGCGGGCCAGATCTCACGACCGGCTTCCACCTCGCGCTCGTGGTGCTCCTTGACCATGTTTCGTGCGCTGCTCTGGAACCAGAGAGCGCCTTTCTCCATGCCCGGGTGCAGCTCGCCGTTGATGAAGACACCTCGGAGGATGTTGTTCTGGGCACCGATGGCGAGTTCCTTGTCCTCGGACATGACTCGCTTGTACATGGCGTCCACCTGCTCGAAGTCCTCTCGAGGGGAGTTCTTGTTCCTGTAGACTTCATATCTCATGATGGAGCTGCCGGCACCGGTGGGGATAAATCTTTGCATCATGAAGAAGTGTTTTCTAGGCCTTGTTAGTTACTTTGGTCTAAGAGCGTGGATAAGCAGGAAGTACTTACGAGACATTGATCGAAGAGTTGGGGAAGAAGTATGTGGGGGCGATCAGAAGACCCTTCTCGATCATTTCTTGGGTAGGGCTGCCGAAGTGCATCAGGTATGACTTGACAGGGTCAACAACATAAGTGTTGATGTCTGCGAGATCGTTGAGATCAGGGTGGGAGACGCGGCAGTGGTAGCATTCATTGTAGTTGTCTCCGAGCAGCTTCCAGTTGTAGGCGCCCTCCATCTCCCAGGTGTGGTCGTATACGTAAGACTCCCAGTCGTACATGTCGAGTCTCTCCTGCTCATCGGCGCCTCCCAGCTCCTCTGACCAGGCAATCTCGGGAGTCTCACCAGCGTCCAAGTTGACCCAGATGAAGTTCTTCTTGTCAATGTGGACGTGAATAGGGAGGATACCGTGCTCATTAATGTTGAATTCTTCAAGCTCTGGGGTGATGTGGAAGGCGTTAATATTTCCATTGTTGTCACGGCAGACCACATAATGGAAGTTGGCGATCTGATAACGCTGCCAGTCACCATTGTTGGGGACCCGCTTGTTGTGGGTTGTGAGAAGCCACCTCTTGGAGAAGATGGCGCGTCTCTCAAGCTGGTACATCTCATCAGAGATGTACCATGAGGCAGGGAGAGCTCTCACTGCGGCAGTCTCATTTGAGGAGTTCTGGGGCTTGCCGCACAAGGGGTTGAGCTTAGAGTTGGCAGGGGGGGCGGGAGCTGGAGTAGGAGCGGCAGGGGCTCTGTTGACATAAGCGCTGGCTGGCAAGCCAAAGTAATTTCTGAGGAAAGACATTGTATCGATGTGTGAATGATTCGATAAAGAAGAGATGAAGCTTGCTTTTTTGTCTAGTGTTTGTGGAGGAGGTGTGGATTGATGAGATAGATTCGTGGGGAAGAGGGAGGCTTTTGAAATAGTTATAGCTTATCGCCATCGCCACGTCTCCCCTCCAACTCGCTTGAACTAGATTGAATTCCTATATCCATCCTGTCTCCGGACCGATACCGTCGGTAGGTTATCGCGAGACGGGCGTAATCATGTGCCGTGGACTGATACGGCGTCGAGACCGGACGCGTAGGATCTGGGCTTCCCCAGTTGCCACGTCCAACCTACTTGATAGCCATTATCAAAGACGGACGGCATTGTATGCAAAATATCTTCCACTTTGAGTAAGGCTCAGAAGCCTATCTGATAGTGCTAGTAATCGATTGCCGCCTTGAGACGCCCAACACGAACCAGTGGCCGAGACAGCCGGCCGGTCACGGGCCTTTTCCCCGCTCACATGATCGGACTTTGGTTCTGTCAACAACTGATGGGCGCCACACCGTAGCTCGAGCTGGCTTGGAGGCACCATTCAGAGCTAAATTTACATCTGCAAGTGCAGATTATTTGAATTTATGGAGCATTTTACAGTCTAGGACCTGGAATCTGAACTTCAAGGCTGTGATCGACCTGATCGCCAATCTATCCTTATCAACGATCAATGCATCGAGGATCTGATAGAATGGCGAAACAACTTTCAAATCCAGCCGTCATCGGACTACGGCGTTGAAGCAATGCCCCGGATGGTGACAAGCCGGACTTTCAATTATTGGGTAATAGATTGGTTAGATGCCTGACACGCGGTCGTTCCGGCGGTATAGCCAGACCACGTGTGTCGAAGGTAATGAATGCCCAATGTGCGCATGACCTTGGACCTGAAGCTGTTATCTCCCAAGAATAGGCAGGCATTCTAAACATTCTAGCCCGTCCGGACGATTCTCCGTCGGCATTGGGTTGCGAGACCGGCCGCCCCTATCTATCGTCCCCACCACAGCATTTGACACATGGTAGATTAGCCACCCACAAGGGAAGCCACTTGGCTACCAACAGAAGCTACCAACAAATCATGTGTCCACGATCGTCCTAATCTGTGGCGGGCTGCAGGGGGAACCAAGGTTGTGGATCTCGACTTCTGCATTCAGGGTGCAAACTCCAAAAAGGGGACCATCCTGAAGGATGCGGGGAATGCGGAGAACTAGGAATTCTACTAGAGAGCGCCGTAGAGATAAGGCTGGCCGAAATAGGATATTAACTTGCAACACCGGCGTTGCTAAAGTGCTACGTCTGGTCAACGACTCCCAGCCTCCTTTCTCCTTTTCCAAACGACAAAACATAACACAATCGACTGATTGGATCTTATTCATGCATGTCATGTCTATCACAATGCATATACCGTGGCGAAACCAGCCCCATCAGATGGGCCAACATGAATTATCATCGAGATATCGATTTGCGGCAGCGCCACCGTTCACGTGATCGGCGGCCAACAGCGACGGTATCGCCAGCGACCTCCTGCTTATCATCATCCATGCATCTATTGTCTTGATAATCCGGATCTCGATACTCATATCCGATGATTCGAAACATAGCTGTATCAGGTAGGTATATTGTTTTGTTTGTCAGATGTTAAGCAACAACGGGCACGGCAAATTTGGTCCACTTACTGCCGTTGATTCATAGATATAGGAATCACCAAGATAGAACTCTCTCCGATCTTTACCATGATGTGCCAATTATATTTTGTAGAAGTATCACCTTCAACCTGATAAGCTGATGCCACATCTAAATCATTCTCCCCTCAAGGTCCCGGCCAAAAACTTGCGTTAGGCTTATCGACATTGCAGATAACATTCGCCCTTGGACGAGCAGAGGCTAAGAACCAAAGTGGCGGTGAAACTCTCCCAGTCTAAATCCCATAATCTTGATAACCATCGCTACAGTAGAGAACTTGCATTTATACCTGGAGCTGAGATATCGAAGTAGAAGTAGGATCCTCATTATTAGACGATGGAAGTTGTAGCACTAGGATTGGTGGCAGGACTGACGGAGGAAGCGGCTTAGCTGGCACACGAGCTGCGCCGTTTAATAGCAGTGCAATTTAGGTGTTCCAAAGTTTCGCGTTTGGTCGCCGTATTTTAAATCAAATTGTCCCGTTCTCGTCTCAGAGGGCCATTTGTCTGGCAGGCTATGCTACTTTTTGGCTCGAGAATTGCCCAAGCGTTGAAAGAGCAAGAGTTTGATGCAGGATTCTTTTTAGATTTAAAAATTTCCAGCGGCATGAACTCAAAGATGTTTCAAGGACCTGGCGGAACAGAATGGGATTCGGCAGTGGCAATACTTTTTCCTGACGGTGTGCTAGGTGGCAATAAGATCGATGTAACCCTTATTAAGCATTCTGGCTATGGGTTTTCAGAATGGGAAAGACATACATCAATTTCGCTACAGTATTTTGCGAGTGGGAGAAGAAGCTTCAGAAGGGAAAAGGATTGGGTATTCATACGACATTGGCGGCTGTGGTTTGAAATTTCTGGTGGCGGGCATGCATGTAGCATGAGCGACCACTACGGAAATATCCGTAAATCCCACTGAAGGAGTAATGCACTCTAGAGAGAGTAGCCTAAAGGGGCATCTTTCAACTGAGTAATATATGCCGCAGCAGTCTCTAGGCGTTGCTAGTGAGGGCCGATTCAGTCTCACTGGTGGGAAGTGTTAGTTGCAACCGCTGACAGCCGAGTCCAACCTGAAAGACCGGCCTGCCACATGAATGGAGGCAATTTTTCTGAGGCTTTATTAGCAGCTACTAGGTATACCTCGTAGCTTTTCCATGAAACCATAAAGAGGGCATCTCAAATATCACCTTAATAGCGAGTAATTCGGAAGCGCGTTGCTTCCCAAAATTTCAGCGACGAAGCGTATCTCTGGGCAACGCTGTGGTTGAGATATGTTTCAGTCGCTGGGAAGACCTGTGGTGCAGCTGAAATCAGCAGGCCGCGAAGTAGGGATGGGTACAGGGGCGCTTGATTTTATCTTATACATGAGGGAGAAGCATTACTATTAAGGTCACAGATTGACTAGGCATCAAGACAACGAGATGATAGCAGCTTTCCAATTGGAAATGAATATCAGAGCCAACTTTTACAAAGAAAAAGACACTTCAATGCCTTTAAGCCCTTGCTAGCTTGATGTGGGAGCAATCATGGCATGCAGAGACTGCCCTGGGATATCGAGTAAGACCTCTAATGGGGCTATACCAGGAATCCTTCAATCGAGGGCCTACCTGATACAATAGTTTCAGACTCATTTCGCATTCTCTTTTAGCTATAAGAAAAAAACCAACTTCATATCTCTTATACATCTCTCTGGTTGTACTTTTATATCTCGCATGCCACCACCCCGCCACTTCTCACCACTCATCAGTAAATACCTAATATTGAGTCCAAATCTGGCATCGGTATTTGTGACAGCCTTTTCATGGCCCGGATGAATTTCTCACCCAATTTCTCCTTCGCCTTCTTGTCGGCTTCGTCTAGCATCTCTTCATCGGCGTTGGCCAACGTCTTTGTCATGTTAGTTCGTCAATTCCATCAAAACAGGCAGCAAACTTACCGAGCAAACTCTCCAAGATTTTAGCATACTTCCAAGGGTAGTCTTTCCCTCTTCGTATTTCTCGTCATCCTCTTGAATTTTCATAAACATAGCAAAGAGATTCCACTCATCGTCATCCTCCGGACCATCGCTCTCCACCGGAGCCAAGGTGGTCTGGAGTTTCCTGAACTCGAATTGCGACATGCCCTCCGGTTTTTCGGCGTCAGTGAACTTCGCCGAGCCAGATTTATACCACAGGTCATGAAGTATAGGATCCTGAGACTTTGGACCGTCTGTGCCATCCCGTTTAGCAATGAGCTTTCGCATCACGAAGATCCATTGCAGGATAAGCCGTTCGGCCCCCGCATCAAGCAAGTAAAACCCATCCATCATGGTTGACCTATTTGCGTTCCTTTCGGAAAAATTATTTCTCGAAAGGGGCTTCAGCCGACCTAAATACTTCTCCTTGGTCAGATCTGCCATTTTTTCAAAGCACTCAACATGGTAGAAATCTAATGCATCGGTTGACTATTGTTAGAAGGAGAATGTGTTTTTGTGAACTTCAGAAGGTATGCCGTACCTGCTTTTCCCCAGTAATTCAACATGCCGGGATCAACGGCGACTCGATAGTCATCACTCTCGATCATTTGATGACAAGAATATAGTTTACAGGAAGCGCGACCACTCAAGTGCTTAGAGCATTCAATGAAGAAATTGACAGCTCCCGATCGCCTTTCTTCTGTAATATGGCGTTCCAGATCACGCTGACAGAGGTGAAGATGGTCATCCAGACGAGAAGAGGGCAATGAAGGCTTCTCGCTGCTATTCTCATCACCATGCCTGTCTTGTCGCTTCAGTGGGCGTTCATCATCTTCAACTGTATGACTGCCCTCGGGAGAACGAGCTCTTTTGGAAGCAGTTGCGGTTGATTCTTGTTTATCAGCCATCTCTAAGTCAGGTTCTCAGCCCAGAGTATTGTCTAGTAAGCTGCGAAGAGTAAGATGCATGCCAACTAGGAAGGAGAGTAGAAACGACCGGAGTATTTAACGATTTTTCTATGCTCTAGCCGCCCAGAATGATGAATGGCAAGGCTAAATATAGCAATACGAGTGGCTATATTGGTGATGTGCAAGGCTGCCTTGGGTCACCGAATGCGCGGCCATGAAACAAGCACAGCCATCTACCTCATGTTCAATGGTTTTGGAGACGTAAGCATGTGAAAGTGATGGAGAGACTTGGTTATGTGCTTTGTCTCTTTGATATTTGAAAGTCATAAATCCTAGGTTAAAAAGAACTATCACACCCTGTGCGAGATCTCGGCCATTCCCAATCAATAAATAACAGGCCAGTCACTTTCCCAGCGGATGAGGTTGATGCCCAAATAAGACGCACCACTGTTGGCATAATAATGATACACAAAGACATCGGCATCTGAGTCAGTGAGGACGGCTGGGTGGCCAGGTCCATGGATCGAGCCATGGCTCGCCATGACCTCAGTACCACCACCAGACAGCATTGCCGTGCCGCTCTTGTCGGTATACGGACCAGACAGGCTAGTGGAGCGACCAACCATGGTACGATAAGTGCTGGAAGCCCCCTTGCAGCAGCTATCAAAAGCTACCCACAGGTAGTAGTAGTTGCCACGTCGAGTGATGAAGGGTGCTTCCAGGGCGCCGTTGTTGTTGGGACGGGCGGCGATGGAGATGACGTTCGTGTCGGAGCGCAGACCCGTGCTGGAGTTCAGCGCAATCAACTTGATACCGGACCAGAACGAGCCAAAGCTCAGCCACCATTTGCCGTCGTTATCAACGAACAGATTGGGGTCGATCGCGTTGTAGTTGAGACTGTCTGTTGACTCAATAACCAAGCCCTTGTTAGTCCACGAGCCCGAAGCTCCGGTGGAGCTAGTGGCGAGGAAAATAGCCGACTTGGCAGACCCAAATGTCGAGGCCGAGTAGTATAAGTAGTAGAGGCCATTGTGGTAGGAAATATCGGGTGCCCAGAGGTTAGTGTCACCACCAGTATAAGGTGTAGTCCATGATGCACCATTAGGGAACACGGCACCCGCATTTGTCCATCTTGTCCGGTCACTCGAAGTCTTGAGCTGGATGTTGGTGCCGGTGTGAGCAATGATGTATTGTCCACTGGATGTTTTTACGATTGAGGGGTCATGAAGACCAGTATCGCCCGTGACGGCCCCCGGATCGGGATAAGCTCCTTGAACTGCCACGGCCAGAGCAGTGATGGCACATAGGCCGCGGTTGAGAAGTTGTCGTAAAGAAGTCATCATGAATATCGGATCCGCGATCCTTAGAGATCGACGTTGGTGGACGGGTGTGGTTTTGGTTACTTGTTTCAAGAATACGGCGCACCATGGTATTACTTATACTCGTAAGGTCCATTCAACCTAGCAACTCGTTTCATAACAGTCGCACTCGACTCTCTGCTTATTTTGTCCAAGCGCGCCTCGGAAAATTTGGTGTCGGAATACGGCTGGCGCCCCTTGATTTCCCTGTAACGCGGAGTTTCATGTTCCGCTGCTGAACTCGGCACTTGGACCACCTGAAGCCTGTGCAAGCTAGCCTCAACAACCGGCCTGCTGGTATTCCGTACTCTTACTGGCAATTAGCGGAACCAAATAACCCTCGGGATAAAAGGTGAAGTAAGCTCGTGCCATATGACCCAGAAGTGGGATCACGTCTTTGCCAAGGTTGAGGAGACAACCACGTTTCACTCTGCTGCGGCAATTGCCCCGACGCCAACTACACACCTACCTAAAGGGTAAACCCCCCGAGAATGATCTCCTTTGAACATCAGCTAGTCGAGGATCTCTATTTTGTACAAGGTAGCCGGCCCAATGAGAATAGAGAAGAGCAGTCTATCCTTCTTGTTAACGGCAGAAGACCAGATGTAACGAAAGTCTGTCCGCACAGATACTTGCTTCCTCGCTACACAGAGCCAACCTAGGCTCAACTCCACATGTAATGAGAAGAGAGCCTTCATATTAATTGTTCAAAAAATCTCATTTATGTTATCTGTCCGTAGGATGATGGGAAAAGGCCACTGATTCCATGCATCTTTTCTATCACAAACTACACAAAAACAACAGCGAAGGGTATACCCTCTACCCTCGGGTATCTCATCTTCGTCTTAGATGACCTTGTCTGCAACAAAACGGAACGGGGATTCGAAGTCTATTCCAAATTGACCACGTTGGTAACGTTCGTTCTAGTCACAATATCGTGATCGACAACCGTAGCTAGGAAGATAGAGCGGCTTGCCGCGATAGGTGGATTGCCTCCCTTGCTCTATTCCTCAAATGAATCAGGATCATCGTTGTACTGGTACGATTGGTAAAGGCGTACATCGCACGACCCTCGTAATTCCAAATAAATCCGTCGGATATTTTCAGAGTATATGCGAGAGGTGATGTTGCGAATGAGATCACCTTCTCTCTTCCTAGGGTCTGATTGTCCTAAATCATACATAACCATTGCGGGGATTTGGTATCCAATATCCAAAGTAAGGTTGGGGGAGGTGCAGCTCAAATCAGCCTCCCCATCCATTTCCCAATCATGGAACAGCAGACCAAAATATGTAAGCTTTTTGAAGCGCCGCGGTGCAACGTTGATCAACTCTTTGGCCTGTGCCAAGATGCCTTCGCCACAGTGATGAATCTTGAGGTATTCCAGATTTTCAGGCAAGCAATCGACAATCCTGGGAGCTCCTTCGACATTCATTGGCATTTGAAGCGCAACCGACTCATGATTGAATGGCCTTCCAGCAATCATCCCGGTAAGTGCCTGCATCCCCAATGTGAGTCTCTTCAAAGCATGCATTTGATTGAGCTCGGTGCCCATGTATAGTCTTTCAGGGCAGGTAGACCAGCTCCATCCATGATCCCAGTCATCCTCAAGGTCCATGTATAGATCCCCAAGCGTATTGGCATGGGGCAATACAGCTTCAAGAATATCTCGGGGCATGGCCTCTTCGGACAGATCGTACATCCCACGGATAAACTCAAATTTCTTGAGCGCTTTGCAGCTGTTCAGCATATCCCTGAGCAGCGATGCCGTGACGTAGGAGGAATGAAGGTTGATATCTTCCACAGAAGAAGACCTCAGCGGCAGACGGCGAAAGTTTTTGGCCGCTTCATCATTTCCATAAGCCATAATACACTCGTAAAATTGGAGCTGCGGCAAGGCGAAGAGCCTTGGTGCCTCTAAAAAGAATTCACGGCAGCCCACTTTGGCATGATTTGCTTCGTGGAACACGTCTTGAAGATTGGAAAGTGGGATGGCCGCGTGACTGATTCCGGTGACATAGTGGAGATTCTTTTGCTTTGAATACAAATCGCGGATAATTTGTAGCAAGGTATGAAAATGGGGCGATTTGCTTGTTTTCTCATACAGGAGCGTTCGAATGTTGGGGCAGGTGAGCAAAATCAAGGTCACCTGAGCATCAGAGCTGCCTGCTTTCAGATCTGCTGCCCATGCAGCACGCCAGCGAGAAGTCTTGTAAAAAAAGGGACCCGAAATAGCACCCAAAATGGTCTCAATTTGCTGTTGATAGACAGCGAGATCCTGATCGGTGCTTCTATTCTCACGATCCTCATCTCCGTTCTCCCCTCTCTCTCCTGGTGACAAGCCGCCTACAATGACAGTTTTGACATACTTGGCCAGAAAGGGCTTAGAGACGAGAATATAATGCAGGAATAGCACATTTCGAGCTGAGGAACATGGGCCTCCGCCCTCTAAGTAGTGCACAGTGTTCCGAAAGATGCTCACGGAAATCGGGAGTGCTATGTTGTAGAAATGCTTGCACGTTCTCAGAATCGCTTGGATGCTCGGTTTTCCAAAAGATACAGCAAGATGAGAGAATATTTTGGTCTGAATCTCAGGTGGTAGTCCTAAGAGTGTGGCCGGCTGCCGTTCCATTGCGTCCGCTTGTGGCGGCCGTGAGCGACTGGTATAATTGCTAGCTGGGTTGAAGAGCCTTGAGAGCACGGACAAATTAAAAGAGGAAGTAAGTTGAAAATCAGGCCATCTATCGGGGAAAGCAAGCGGCTGTAGCCTACTATTTGAGTGGATATTTTTCTCTCGCCCATTATGCGACCGACGCAATATTAGGCGGAATCGGCCTAGTAGTATTGCAGCAAGCTAAAAAAGAACTTTCCCTTGCAATAGGGCTAGTAATAATTTGGGACCAGGGAGTGGTTAATCAACGTAAGCCAGAAGTTGTTGGTTGTTGGTTGTTGGTTGTTGCAATGCAACTGTGGAGGCGCAGCAGGATGTAACCTGCTTTGATTCCATGTCCCTGGCCAGCATGGATGGGTATTTAACGAGAGCAAGAAAGTAGACAGTAAACTAAAGCTATCCCGTGTGATAGTTTCACTGGAGTATTTATGATGGATTTTCTTTGCTCTGTATACTGGCATTTGGTAGTTTTATATATATGCAGGCTTGACGAAAAGACCGTTCGTGACTTTGCCTCGCTGTGGAGGAGCACCTGGTGAGCAAAAATAGCCTCGCGTAGCATGTTTTGTTGGTCAAGAGCACTTGGTGAGCAAAAATAAACTCGCGTAGCATCTTTGTTGGTCACCTTGCCTCTTGATCATAAAAATAGCCATTAAACGAGTCTGGCATGATTGTATGTCTCGGAAATGAGAGGCTTATAAAGGGAGAATCTTTCAGGATAATAATCGTCTCAATCATCCCAAGATTCCTTCAAAGTCATTCTCTATTTACTTCTATATCCCTACTTCCTTCTTCCTTGCAATTAATTTCCTTAAACGCGGTCATGGGCTTTTTGAAACGTCTACCGTTCATAACTGTTGTACTTGTCGGTACGAGCAGAGCTTGGGGCACCACTCTAGACTCAAGCGACCTCGTTACACGAGTTGACCTCAGAAATGCCGGCGGTACTGAGCATATCGTACAGTCTCGTTACAATAAACCTTCTGCCACCGTTCGTACTGAAGAAGGGGACATTACTGCGAGAAATAAAGCCTATATGTTGAGAAGAGAACGTGACCAGGGTTACAATCTTCTCCAGAGAAGCCCTAGGGCCTCAAAGAGGCTCAGGGCTACACTTCGAGTTGCCTCGAAGCCCAAGAGCAAGCTCACTACAAAGCCTAACCCCAAGCTTGCTTTGAAGCCCAAACCCAAGACCGGGAAAGCTGCTGCTAAACCTAAGGCCTTCAATCTTGCTGGAAACCCCAAACACGGCATTTCCAAGGCCGGGGAGAAGCACAAGCCTAAGCTTCACAACACCTCTGTTCAGCCAAAGCCGAAGGCTCGTCAACCAAAGGCTCCTAAGGCTTCAGCACCGCCTAAGCATAAGAGCACGAAAGGTTCCGAAAGTCACAAGCACAAGAATCACAATGCTCCTGGCCAGCACAAGCCCAAAGTTCAGAACACCGCTGCCAGACACAAGCTTAAGGTTCATAGTGCCGCTGCCAAGCACAAGCCCAAGGCTCCCAAGGCTTCAGCACCTCCTAAGCATAAGTCTCCTAAGGCTTTTGGAAAGCATAAGCCTAAGGCTCATAAAGTTGCAGCAAAGCACCGGAACAAGGCTCATAAGGTTCCTCCCAAGAAAGCGACTAAGGCCACACCGCACCGCAAACCCAAGGATCACAAGGTTGCTACCAAGCACAGAGTCAAGGCTCACAAGACTGTAGCACGGCCTAAACATCAAGCCGGCAAACAATTTGCAAAAAATAAGTCCAAGGCTACTAAACCACATAAGCCAACGAATGCTAAAGTCACCGCAAAGCCTCAACGCAAAGTTTCCAAGGTCACCAGACCGAGTCAACCTGAGAAGCCCAAAACTGCGTCTGGGGGAGAGGGTCCCATCTGTCGGCGAGGACCGAGCCAAGACTGTGGCAACCAGCGTTCCGCAAGCCCGGATAGAGCATCCACTTCCAGCTCGGAAGGCGGGGTAGTTGATCTCAAAGATGTGAGCACCGTCGGACCTTCCCTCCTTGCAGGTGACACTTCTCGAAACAGACGCAAGGGCGCCGACCTGGATGATATATCGGCATCTACGTATAACTACCTGGCTAGAGTCGGGGACTTGCATGCTAATACGGCTCTCCAAGGTCGACTTGGATATAAAGGCGTGCCCGGCCCTGGTGCAATTGTCAACAGTAATCCCCCTTCGTCGGATTCCAGTTCCAGTCGGCAGCCGGGTAGTCCGCATCTCAATGCACAAAGTCCTTCTCCTAATAGCAATGAAGCATCCCCTGATACCAAGCCCAACACGCCAGTTGACAGTTCTTTGAAACCCAACCCGGGTACGGCAGCAGCTGGTGCTGTTAAAGAAGATGGAGGAGAGGAGGAGCAATCTTTTGTTGACTCAGATTATGAGAAGGGTTTGACTTTCTACGACTCGGGGTCTGGGTCGGAATAGACGAAGAGATATTCAGCATGTTCATCAAGTAGATAGCCATGGAGGAAAGTATACGCCTTCAAGTCTGAGCCCTGTATAAAGAACCCTTTTGAATAAATGAAGAAGGTCTGGAACGAAGAGAAAAGGGGAGGACTGAGAATACTTGAGCTTCCCTAGCGCATTGGCTCTCGCGCTCTGACTGCTCTATGTTTCTCATCGGTGAGATTTAAACGTGGAATTCTGCTGTCTTGTCCCACGATTAAAGTAATGCACTGGGGAGGATTCTAGCATAGACTAATAACAGCAGCACAAAGTTACCTCTGAAGCTTGAATAGAGAGACACGATGCCGATGATATGTCGTCACCAGGAAATCACTACAGACGGCCATGTCACCTCCGATGACCGGGGCCGTGATGGATCAGCGAGCAACCTTGATCTACGTTGTTTGTTATCGTGCGAAAAGAAGTTCAATCCTTCATGAAAGTTCTAAGCGATGATTCTGATCACTGGGAGATTCTCAGCATAAGATGCCCGAGTATTGGGAAACTCAAGAGTGGAGGTAAACATAAATATCATTCGTATTAAGTCAAGCCTTAACATTTAGGTCTCGATATTTAGGAGTCGTTGTTTGCTTCGATATGATGGGATCACTAAACGAGTTTGGGGCCGCAATCGGAATGCTACCATCATCGGTGTATGCAGGGTCAATTTGGCTGACAAGCTTGCTGGATGGCGCGTGAGTCGCATTAAGACAATGTAACCCTTGGCTATTCAGCTCACAAACAAGGCATTTATTAATCCGTTACTGACATTAAGAATGCTGCTGCATCTTGGTTACCTCATGGCGTAAGATCAATGCTGTCCGGTCTGAGGTGCATGCATAGGGTAGTCGTCCCAGTCTGCTCACTACTCTACTACTAACTTGGCGCGTTTCACCGTGTAAAGAGTGTGCATCGGCCGGATTTACATCTATGCGCTCAATGTGGATGGACATAGGGCCGGCTGATCATTATAAGCTGACATCCATCGAGGAGGGCAAAGCCACAGTCCAGTGTCTTGCTGGTCTTATGCCAAGAAAGACCCTGACATCAAACACCGGAATTCACCCACAGGCTAAAATGTCATATTAAATTATATGACGGTCTGGACCCCTTTGGTCTAAAAATAGAAGCGACCTCGGAGCACAGGGTGCAGTACAGCCGAGCCTAACAATCTTCAGCACAGGGAGCTATGGCTGGCTGCATGATTCTTCCATTATGGCGATCTTGAGGAGATATATAAAAGATCAAGGAATTTCTTGTGTTAATGGGCGCAAGATCGAGGCTTGCGAGTTGTTCGGCACGGGGTAGAGCGAGCGGCATCGAGGCATCTCACTGCTAGGAATGCATGTCCCTGGGATAATCAGCCCTTTGGCGAAGGATGCATATTGTAACATAACGTAATCCTAGCCCACTTGGCGTTAGATCGGATCTCCCAGGCCAATAGCATCCGAGACAAACCATGCATAAACTCCCATTAGAGTGTCCTCTGTTCCTCAATGCACCATGGAGGTCGGATCCTGCCCTCTCTGTACTGCTAGTGTCTAATTCTGGACATAAATCTGGGCAAATAGTGCAGACCTCCCCATATTTCACTTGACGGGAATATGGTTGTGGTTAGAGGACACCGAGCAGCCGTCTCACTCCCCACGCGACACACTGCCAAGTCGTCTACCCTCGGCCTGCCTTGTCGCTGTGCCTTTCTTCCTCCTCAATCCGTCCCTTGCAGCCCGCGATAAACCACGCCCGCCACGATGCCGCCGCCCGAAGAGGAAGAGATGAGGTTGATGGGGGAGTATGACACGACCACCGAGGACCACGACCACGACCAGGACCACGAGGACGAGCCCTTCGACCACCGCCAGTACGATGAGAATCTCGACAGGGCCGAGGTCAGCGTCGTCGAGGAGCTGGAGCCGCCATCGGTGTTTGGCACCCGCGGCTCCTTTGCGCCCCCTCCCGTATACGCCAACATCCATCGGTAGGTAGGCTCCAGCTTGCCAGCTTCGTCAACGACCGTGCTAACATGCGATTGCTTTGCTGACCTGCAGGATACGCCGCCTGATCCGAGCCAGTATCGATGACCCCTACACGATGGACCATTTCCACGAGCCCAAGCTCAATGCGCTCGTCGTGCGTCCCCTCGTTGACCGCATCTACGACCCCAAGGACTCCTCCACGAGTAAGCCTTCCTCGAGACCCTACATGCACTCCCGCAGCGGCTGAACGTGCCTGTGTAGTCTACTGCCTCCTCGCGAACCGTGTCTACTTCCTCCGAGAGCAGGCCGGCCTCTCCTACCAGAGCGTCAACAGTGCCCGAGCCACTCTCTGCGAGCTCCTCGCCAGCCGCGTGTTCCGCCGATTCCACGAAGACCACCCGGGCGACTCGGGCCTCCTCCTCCTCGCGCACGTCCTCGTCGAGGGATACGACCCCTTCCAAGGCGCCCCGAACGAAGTCGAGCGACGATACCGCCCCCTACAATGGCCTGTGCAGGAGCGCAAAGGACACGAGCGGAAGCTCACGGCGCTGGAGCTTGCCATCATCTCCGAGAGCAAGTTCTTCATCAGCACCGCTGCCTTCCAGCTCGTCGTCGACGCCGTGCATACGGGCCAGGTCACGTACACGCCGCTGTCCTTCATCGACATCCTGCCCGACCACTACGAACATCTGCCCATCACCATGTACCATCCGAGGAAATCCCACCTGCTGAACCACCACCGACTGAAGGTGCCGCGCATCAGAGGCTTCGTCGAGCTGTTCCAGTTCGTCATCCTCTTCTTCCTCTACTTCATGACGATGCACTACAAACACGAGATGTGGAGTCTGTGGGAGCTGGCGTTCTGCATCTACACGGCGGGCTGGGTGCTGCAGGAGTTTGCCGCAGTCATTGAACACGGCTGGGAGCTGCATTCCCAGAGCCTGTGGTCATTCCTCGACATAAGCTTCATCGCCATCTACGCCGCCTACTTCCTCGCCCGCATCTTCGATCTCGTCACCGACCGCATCGCCGACGGCTACGGCCTTTCCATCCTCACCATTGCCGCGCCCATCGTGCTCACCCGCATCGCCTTCAACCTCCTCCCGAACAACATCGTCTTCATCTCGCTGCACGCCATGATGCGGGACTTTACCATCCTCACCTTCATCGGCATCTGGTGCTTCACCGGCTTCCTGCTCGCCCTCCAGTGGCTGCTAAAGGCGAAGCAGGTGAGCGACCCGGACACCCCCAGCTGGATGACGATATGCAAATGGCTCCTGTGGATTTGGTTCGGTCTCGATGGAACGGGTATCGACGAGGCGGCGGGCTTCCACATCATCCTGGGCCCGGCGCTCATGATCAGCTTCGCCTTCCTGGGCAACACCCTCTTCTCGACCATCCTCGTCGCTATGCTGACCAACACCTTCTCCCGCATCATCACCAACGAAAAGACGGAGATCAAGTTCCGCCGCACCGTCATGACCTTCGAAGGCGTCAAGAGCGACTCCATCTTCTCCTACCCCCCGCCCTTCAACATCGCAGCGCTGGTCCTCCTGCTCCCACTCAAGCTCGTCATGTCCGAGCGAGAGTTCCACTACCTCAACGTGTTCCTCGTCCAGCTGATCAACGCGCCCCTCCTCCTCATCATCACATGCTTCGAGCGGCAGCTCTGGGCGCCCAAGAAGGAGAAGAGCTCATGGACCAAGCTGGTCTTCACGGGCTTCTGGCCGCATGGGGACATCAACGCCGTGCTCAAGGCCGACCCGCCGCCAGAGCTGATCGCCCAGCTCGAGCGGCTCGACCCGATCAAGGAGATTTCCGTCTTGGAGGATGATTTGATAGCCGAGGCACAGCATGAGGTGACGCATGCGAAGCTTAGGAGAACCATGATGGGCGCCTTGGGTTAGATGAACGATGGTTTTTTTTTTTACTTCTTCTGGCGCAAATGTCCTTCTCGTCCCGTGGATGGACGATGCGCGAGCGAGCATTTACAGCATTGTGGTTTCGGCGTTGGTTCTTTGCATGGCGGGCGATTTAGACCATAGAATGTAGTTACGTTAGCACAAGTTTCATGACAAGAATATGACTACTTTGATACCCCGAGTTTCGTCCAGACCCCCATAACTCATATTCAATTGACAAGAGGCTTATTCTTATAATTATCTCACTGTCCAACGAGCCTGCCAGTAGCCATCAATGTCCAACTGGCCCAAGGAAGACGCGTCCCAGTTATTCGCATCAAAACTGATCTTCTCATCGCCCACGAAGAAATCCTCAATCACGAGGCCGAGATTCCCAGGCGACTGATCCCCCAGCGCAATGGTCTGGTTACCATTATCCCCGTCCGTGAAGACTCGAATAGTGCTCCGTCCCACCCCTGTCGTTGGTACACCGAGCTTCTCGGCCCAGATATTAGAGAAGGTCATGTTGTCAATGTTCTGCAAGGGGTTGAGGCCAAGCAACCCGGGGCAGATGCCCTCGCAGCGCCAGTTGGTGACTCTGTAGTTGGAGAGGCGTTTGTTGACATCAGCGGTTGATGTGGACTCATCGTCCTCGTAACTGGCTGCCGACGCTACAAGTGCCCGAGGCCAAGGTGTCTCTTGGGAAATGTAGCGTGTGTGGATGACCTCGACAGAATCCACGGTGACGTTGTTCAAGTCGCGCGCGTACCAGCCAAACTGAACGATGGGGGCATTGTTGGATTTCCAGACTGTCATCTTTTCGCAAAGCACATTGCTGTAGTACGTCTTGATGCCGTCATCTCCAACGTGGTAGAAGACATTTCGAACGTGGGATCCAGGATACATCTGGATGCCGTCGGTCTGGCCGAAAAACGCACCGACTTGCTTATAATCAGAGGCATCTACTGAGAATGAGCTCGTGTCGCCGTAGAAATCCATGCTGTTGAAGGGGGGTGCATTGATAGTAAGCCCATGAAGAGTCCACTTTGCGCCTGCAGCAGAGTGGCCACGCCACATCTTCAACGAGGTATCGTCGGATTTGACATTCTCGTAGCTCTGAGCGGTGTTGGCCTGGTACACATATTGCTCGCCCGAAAGGACGCCGAATCCAGTGGCCCGGAGGTCAAGGCCCTGACTTTCATACTGGATTGCTCCCTTCACATACGCCCCAGGAGCCATATAAACCCATGTGATGCTGGGAGACAGGATGGCGTGGTTTGAGCCTGTAAGCCAGTAGACTCCCGGCGGGAAGTACAGAGTCGACTCTTGAAGCTGAGTCAAATCCGTAACTAAACCCTCAGGAACTGTATAGACATCATTTTCCAGAGCCGGGATGTACTTTTCCTCTGGAAAAGGGCTCATAAACACCAACAAAGCGTTGAGTGGCTCCACGCCCACGACGGGCATTGCATCGTCGTACTCTGAGACATAGCTCATCCCATTAGAGTTTTTGTTCTGCACGTAATGGGATTGAGTGCCTGGCCCGGCATTGCGATACTGCCACAAATTGTCATTGAACTCGACGGAGAATCGATGGCCCTCTTCGCCATAAGGGACGTGGATGAGCAAGGCATCTCCGTCTTGTTCCATGGCGAATCCTAGAGTGGTCGGCCGGATGACAACTCCTGCTGGATCAACAGAGCCGCCATCTGTCCTGGTAATTCTAACAATGGTATCGACGGCCGCGAGGTACTGAGTCCATGCCATATCCACGCCGATGTCAGCTTCGATGCTGATTTGATCGTCCACATCGCTGATGGAATTCATGTCTCCGGGGATGCGTATCTTGCCGTTGCCGTTCCTGGGAATGCTTTCGTACACGAAGGAGTCGTAAAAGTTCGTAGTATTGGCGGAAGCGCCGACCTGGATTGAATATAGGTGGGATTGGCGCACATTTCCGTTCTGCACTGGAGTATGTGTGTTGATTTCACCAGTGTTGTGCCACCACGTTTTGAGGACATCCGAATCCGCTGTTGTATTGAGAGCTGTTGTTGTTAGCGGCTAGGTAGAATTGCTTTGGCATCTCTCACTGACCTTGTACGCCAGTGATGCTGATGGCAATAGCAAAGAGGCCAAACGCCACCCTTCTCACTCGACGGGGCATTGCTACGATGGGAACATGCATCTAAGCCGGTCGAAAAGGGCAAGTTGTTGATCGCGTTCCCTTGATGATCCGCGGTAGTTGATATTCGCGGCAGTTGATATTGATTGCGTACCTGTTGTTCCATTTATCCCTGGGCACGGGCCGATCGTGATGATCATCGCCGTAAGATTAAACGGAGCTTCTGAAGGTTTCTAAGAATGCTTTGTGAAACAACCTCACCTCGTTCTCGCACGAAGGATTTCCTCCACTCTTAGCTTGACTAAATTTGGATCATTCAGGCAGCCACTCATCGGCTTATTATCGCAAAGCAATAAGCCTGGTCATTCAAGGCGATTACTAAATGGCTGTACTGCTAGCCTTTGGACAACATGGGCCAGAGCTCTTCTGGGCATGGCATATCAAGCAGAAGAAAAGTAAGTCAATCTTTGTCTACGTTATCACCGCCTTGACTGTATTATCATCACTACCTGTGATCTTGTGGCATGCACTTTCTTTATTTCTAAAATAATATTCAAAATTTCGGGCCAAACGTGGCGATGCGGTTGTTCGGTAGTCAATTTGCGCTTTGAGACAGGCTGCCATCGAAGCTGCTACAGCCATCAGTTGGAGCAAATGGGCAGCTTGCATTTCTCACCGTAACTAAAACTAGTTGGAGATCATAAATGCCTAGGTCATTTCTATCTGGCTAGCGAAGAAGGCAAGAAGATCATAGAGAGTTGGACGGGAAGTTCAACATTTTGCCCCCTGTGTGTGTGAGATTCTCACCTAGTCTTGAGGATCAAATAATCATTAAAGCATACTGCGCTGTTAGAAATTTAGAATTAAAGAGACTATTAAACCTAGATGTAATATAGCTGGAAGATTTCCAAGGATTGTCCCCGTTCACAGTGTTGGCGGCGCAGACTTTAGATCACTTTCGCCAGGAAAGCCCGCTCAACTATCACTAAGCAATACACACTCACAAGATAGTGTGTATAATACCTTTTCAAGTGTAGCTTCATCAGCTTTCAACTGCTTTACAAGGTAACTTTTACCGTTCGTGTTATCTGAATGATTATATGATATCATATCTTCTGCAAGCTAGATCGCTTAGTAGCTGCAATCTTTGCCGTTCTATACCACTGAAAGAGTGTTTAAAATCCTACCAAAGCACGTGTCAAACTATTCAGATGTACATGTCTGCTTTCAGCATCTCCAGCGGCCAATCAGAGAGACATGTTATCACATTGCTTATGGAAATGCACTTTTGGCCGCAACCCCGCAATTCTCATTCCTCTTCGCTTCGACATAATTGAAACATCTTACTCTTGGTTCCCCTAACCATATAATATGAAGTAACTTCATTGAGATATCAGGATCCAGGGCGTCATCAAATCTGTTTTGGTTCCAATAGAACACTGCCCCCCTTGGTTGCGCGCCACTGCTGTTTAAGGACTGGAAGCTGGCTTCAGCCCGTCTCGCGATCACGTCAGTCAACCGTAGGGTGATCCAGAGAAATTCTCAACCCCAAAAGCTAATTGACAATGCTTTGATAAGATAGAAATTTGAGCTGAAATGTCTGAAAGCCTCGAACCCACCCAGGGAGCACAAACTGCTGCTGATGTGGCGGCGCGAAGCCGCGCGGACCTGGCAGACCAGTTGAGCGACACAGCCCTCCGTTCGTTCACGAAATATTACTCGACTTTCGAGTTTTCTGATCTCGAAGAAGCTCTTAGATGTACTGAAGAAGCACTGAAATCGATACCGCATGACCACCCGGAGTACCTGGGGCACTTGAGCAACATTGTCAGTCTATTTAGTGATAAATTCGATACGACGGGGAGGGTGGTCGATCTTGAGAATGCAATCCAATTTGGAAGGGAAGCTATCGACAGATTTCCTGAGAACTTAAACCGTGGATATTTGTTGAATGCTGTTGCAGACAAATTTGACACACTTTTTGCCTCGACAGGGGAGGTCTCAGCTCAAGATCTCTCCGTTCAATATGCCAAGGATGCCTATCAGGAAACCAGCGATAGGCCAGAAAATGAGCCATTTCGGCTGGAAGTCATGGATACCCTTTGTACTGTATTGATGACCCGATATCAGCGGATCTGGGATCTACAAGATCTGGAGCAGGCCATCGAAATAGCAAGGAGTGTGAGATGTTTTTCTCAGAACGGCTATCTAGAGCATTCAATACGTCTCTCCGATCATCTCATATCTAAGTATTTGAGAGTCGGTGAAGTAGCGAGCCTCGAGGAAGCCAAGACTATTTCCCGCGAAGCCCTTTTATTCGCTGCAGTGGATGATGCAGATTATCCAGGCTGCGTGTTCAGTCTTGCGAGGAGTCTTTACCTCAGCAGTCAACGTACGAGTGAACTATCCGAGCTGGAGGGAGCGATCCAGTACTTGAGGTCAGTTGAAAAATTCCTTGCAGAAGACGACTGTGAAAGTATATCGCAATATCTCAGCAGCCTCGCAAACTGCCTGGACTATAAATACTCGATAACCGGCCAACCAAGTCAACTGGAAGAGGCCATCCAGTTGATGAGGAGAGCCGTAGACATTACCGACCCAGAAACTGATCGATATGCCGGGATTTTATGCCAGATCTCGGTTCTACTTGGACAAAGATACAGCCGAGCCTGGTCCATGGATGACCTGATTGAGTCTATCGGTTACGGGGAAGAGGCGGTAAACGCCAGCTTACCCAGCGACCCCAATCTCCCTGCATTCATGACCTCTCTGGGAAATAGGTTCATGGAACGGTATCTGAGAACCGGGAAGGTAGGCTATATGGACAAGGCAATCGAACTGTCTAGAGATGCGCTCAAGAAAAGCCCAGAGGGCCATCCAGCGCACGTGGCACATGTCACATGCCTCAGCCATCAACTCGGCGAGAGATACTCAAGATTTGGCATGATGGCTGATCTAGAAGAGGCCATTCAACTTGTTAAAGAGACGCTCAGTCTCGGCTCACTGGGCAATTCGGACCGAGCCAAATGCTTCACTGCTGCCGCATTGAGATTCGGGGACAAGTATTTGAGAACAAATTCTCTCCCCGATCTGGAGGAATCTGTTCGGTATGCAAAACGTGCCCTGGATGAACTCCCAGAGGAACATTCACACCGGGCAGCTTATTCTAGCAATCTCGCTGAGGTACTTAGATCGAAATACCAGGAGACCAATGTCATGAGCGACCTAGAGGAGTCTCTTCATTATGGAAGGCAAGCAGTTAGAGAGACGCCACCAGGGAATGCGGACGAGGCAGGTTATTTCAACAATCTCGCGTTCCAGCTTGCAGAAAAGTACCGGAAGACAAGAGAGCCTGAAATTTTGGCGGAGGCGATTAGCTATGCTACCAAGGCAGTCACCGACAGGCCGGAAGAATACCAATACCGCGCAATGTACTTGAGCAACCTTGGTGATTGCCTTCGAGACAGGCACGCAATCTCAAATTCAGCTTCCGACTTGGAAGCTGCGATGCAAAACTATGAGCTCGCTCTCGCCCAGACGTCATCTCCCATCATCAACCGTATCAAAGCCGGCATCCAGATACTTGAGCTCTCCAGTGCTCACTCAAGCTGGCGACGAGCCTTTGAAGCGTCTGCAACAGCGGTAGAACTGATCCCGCAGCTGTCAATGCGGTCGCTAGAAAACTCGGACAAGCAATTTATGCTAGGGCAAGCTGCCGGTCTAACGTCCGACGCTGTGGCGGCCGCCATCAACGCAGGGGAAGGGCCGCTCTGCGCCTTGAGTCTTCTCGAGCAGGGTCGAGGCTTGATAGCAACATCTCTTGAGGAAATCCGAACAGACGTGCTGGAGTTGCGGAAAGCTGACCCGTACCTAGCGGACGCGTTTGTTTCCCTCGGCAACGTCCTGGACATGTCAGAAGCATCTACCAAACAGCACGTCACAACTACTCCACAGGTGGGGGCAGACAGGAGGTATCAAGTGGACAAAGAGCTGGGTGAATTAATCGACACAATTCGTAAAAAGGACGGGTTTGGCAACTTTCTCCGGGCCCCGAGTGAGGTCGATATACAAGATGCAGCCAGAAATGGTCCAGTCGTGGCTATCAATGTGAGCAAGTTCCGCTGTGATGCGCTGCTTGTTGAGAATCATCAGATTCGTCTTCTGCCGTTGCCTGATTTGCATCTTGAAGATATCAAGGACAGGGAGCTTCAATCGAACCTCGGCAGTACTGCTGTTCTTGAATGGCTGTGGGATACCGTGACAGGCCCTATCCTACATGCTCTAGGGCTCTCTCCAGTCCCTTCAGGTGAGAATAGCTGGCCTCATATATGGTGGATTCCCACAGGTCCGTTGGGGAGATTCCCCCTTCACGCATCAGGATATCACCAGGACGGCCGTTCGGAAACTGTTTGTGATAGACTCATGTCGTCGTACAGTGCATCCATCAAAATGATGATATATGGTCGACGCCACGCTGCAACACCACGAGGAGTATACCAGGCACTGATGCTGGCAATGGAGAATACCCCGGGAGCTACAAGACTCCCGTTCGCAGCAGCGGAGGTAAAACAAGCATTTAGCATCTGTCAGTCGATGGGACTCATCCCTATCACACCCGAACCATGCAAGCAGTCTGTGTTGTCGCATTTGTCGCAATGTTCCATTTTCCATTTCGCCGGGCATGGCTTCACACACAACACGGACCCATCAAAGAGTCATCTTCTCCTTCGTGATGGCATGAACAACCCACTGACGGTTTCAGAGATCCTGGCCTTGAATCTGCGTGAGATGCCTCCGTTCCTCGCCTATCTCTCGGCCTGTGGAACGGGTAGGATCAGGGACGAGAAGTTCTTTGATGAGAGTATTCACCTGGTCAGTTCGTTTCAACTAGCCGGGTTCCGCCATGTGATTGGTACGCTGTGGGAAGTCCAGGATGAGATGTGTGCTGAGATGGCAACGATAGTTTATGAAGAAATGAGGGACGGGAAAATGAGCGATGATTCGGTTTGTAGAGGATTGCATAAAGCTACCAGAGCGGCGCGCGACCATTGGCTGGGTATCTCATCTAGCTTGGAACGCAACAGTCGGGCTGTTGTGAAGCGAGAAAGCATGGAAGCAGCAGATGGTAGAGCTTGTCTATCACTTCCAGGAGAGATCCGACTGCCGAGAGACATAAAAGAATGTGCTGAGAGTGAGCAATTTTGGGTTCCCTATGTTCATTTTGGTATATAGATAACAAGAATGGAAAGACTATGTAATAATAGAGAACTATCCAGCTAAAATAAAGAGGCTATATGTATGTTACCCATTGATAAACCTGAATAACAGACATCGAAGTCCAGTTCTCAATGAGAACCATGCTGGAAGGACAGACCAACATCAGCCTTTTGAAAAAAAAAAAAAAAAACTTCTATACTTAGAGTCGTATACTCAAGCCCCATGCATTTGTTAAATACATAATCAATAACTCATTCAAGACGAGCGCTTTAGAGAAATGGGGAGTGAAACGGGATTGTCGGGGCATATCATATCAGGGTTCCTGGACCGTGAACCATCCTTACCACTGACTTTACAACTTTAATTTCTCGGCGACTGAGCCTGAAGGCAGCCGCCGGAATAATACGGATCCGCTTTGGCATGTGATGTTGTTGCTTGGGGTGGGCGACATTCGGAACTTGCTCTGGTATCAATGATTGAGAGTAGAGTTCTCGAATATGAACAGTCATTTCGCTTACCTCCTGGCCTCTTTGTGTACCTTGGCTCAATAATCAAGTAACTATTTTCGATCAAACCTCGGGCATGCTTGAAGGAGCACATGGAGCGCATGAGTTGAGCAAAGCCTGTTTTCTCTGATCAACCGCCGAAGTCCGTCATACCCCGCTCTTCATAACGCCGCGATCTGCGCTTGAATTTTTGAAGTTAGCACCTAAAACGGGGCACTCCTTTCCAAGGAGAGAGAGATCCGGGGCGGTTGGTCGGCTTCAATGAATTCCACGGCTCTGACTGGTGTCAAGATCATTGCGAGAAGGCCAAAGCAAATAAGCAGAAACAGCCCATTGTCTTACCCCCTGTGGTCTCGTTCCCTGTGTCCGTAACGGGTTGTTCTTTGCGAGTCGTCGAACGAAGAAAGCGAAAACCGTGCCTTTTTCGCATCGGCCGACGGGAATTCCGTAGCGCTAAAATTTGCACCTACGACTTTTGGCTTCTGTGCACGGTGGCCAAGTGGCCAAAGGAACATGTTGCATGTGAAGAGAGAAAAAGCGAGCTCGTGGAGAACGCTGGAACCAATTGACGATTGTGACCCTACAATTTCGGGGCAACTTCTCCGAGGCATTGGGAGCAATGCAGCGTTGAGGACCGAGCGCGCGGGCAAGACCAACGAGGATGTTTCATGGCGTGGAGCTCGCAACATGCTGGCAGTTGGCTCAGGTGTTGGCCCTGGGATCAGGGTTGGGTTGTAGGGCTCCTCGGGTCACCGAAGTACCGGTGTCTGACCAGTTCGCCGACGCCAGGTGCCAGCAATCAATATCAGGCAAGTCTGAACCGACCCTCGGGATTTTGCATAAGAGGTGAGATTGACCGAGATACGCTTCGATTAAGCGTGGCACTCAGGGCAGGCTCAGGGGTAGTTTGGCGAGGCGAGATGAGCCAAGTTTTTGGTGATCGACAAGGTGTGTGTAGTGGTACCAACAATGTAGATGTGCCGGTTTTCCTAGTGGGCTCTCCTCGGTCCAGTCAACCGATCATCGGCTGTTTGGTTTAGATTGAATCCACGTGAAAATACCTCCTCGGAGGCTCATACACACAGACGGAACCTCACAGAAGCCCGAGTCTCGGTAAACGGCGGTTTCGTTCAGCCCGCAATCTTGGTTCTCCTCGGGGTCCGTAGCAATATTATTCGCAATTCCCCCTGAATGGTCTGGGGGCATGCTGTGGGAGATATATTTAGACCCCTGGCGAGGAATGGGGAGGCTACTGTAGTACTGGGACGGATGGAGACAGAATCTTCCCAAAGCAGCCTCACGGAAAGTGGGAGGCCTTTTGGAGTTTCTAGAAGGATGGTGCACTTGGAGGGCAACATGAAGCGAGCAGATGACACACCTGTTACGAGCAGAGTCTAGAGCCAGAAGATCCACGGGGGTGGCGCGCGCCGAGGGTTGTGAGGTCCCCAGAAGGGCCAATTAGGGGGCCGGCAGCGTTTGCAGTGGGTTTTGGGGTCAGTCAGGACACGGCACCCTTCCCGGGCGTGGTGTCAGCGTCGCCGACCTCCGCTATCCCTGTTGCAGCAATCGCTCGTGTGTGAGGTCGGGTAAGCGGCAGGCTGGGGCTCGGCACCAAGCAATAGTCATGACTAGGTTGTCTGGGGAAGGCTCACGAGAGCCAATGCTGGCCATTGTTGAAGGAACTTGAACCTGATTGTTGTGCGACGAGAGCAAGCCGTGGCTGATCAGCTGGCTGGGGCGTCGTCACACCCTGGCTGGAATGTGCGCACAAGAGAGCAAGCCGCTGGGAAGAGGCTGTTTAGCACGCGCCTCCTTGCCTCGTTGGTCGCGATGTGTCCTGTGTCCTGGGCGTTTTGGTTTGGGTTTGCAGATGCATTTCTGACTCTGCTGGACCCACGTGACACACCACCATCTGCAAAGTTCGTGCCTGAGGTAGAGATACTTCCGAGCTGAGCTCCTGAAGGCTGAGAAGTGGCGCATGAGTAACGCCCATCAGCAATGGATGGCAATGGATGGCAATCAGCATGGCAAATCTGCGTGCTGCACCCGGTCTGACATGAGACAGCGACCCAACAGCGGGACTTTGGGATCTCCAGGCTGACTTCTCCCACAACAAGAATAGATAATTAGGAAGCAGTAGATGAAGTCGGATCCCGGCATGCTTGCTCCTGCTGGACCCCCGGCCATCGCATCTCCACTGGGCTGAAATGCTGCTGCAACCTAGTGGCGGCGCTAGGCACCGGCTGGTCCCAGCAGCAGGGCAGGGCATCTCGTAAGGCGCGGAGGGCGAATGAGAGCGCTAGGGGGGCACGCTAGCGAGGGCCCAGGCCCAGAGGAGAAATCCATTGGCGGCACCACCCTGAAGCCAGGTGCCGTGCCGAGAAAAGCTCTCCTCTAGCCTGGAGAATCTCTCACTGGAGCAAGGCCTGTGCTGTGCTGTGCTGTGCTGTGCTTGCTGTACCTGGCACAGACCCTGGAGCCACCACCAAGAAAACAATCGACTGAGTGCACAGCACAGCACAAGAGCAAATCGACCGCGGTATTGTGTCTGTTTAGGGACGTAATTACCTAATTCCTCGCCCAATCACCCAGCACCCATTATGCGTCATCTCCCTATTCGCCGCTAACACTGACTGGTGGCTTGCTCGTGTGCTGCTGCTCCTGAGATGACGCCCGGCAAGGCTTTTCATGGCTGGAGGCTGATCTGAGGATCTGCCTGATTGTCTGTTGGATTCTCCTGATCAGCGTCCACTGTTTTCCTCCGCCACAACAGCCATTGGTTTGGGGTCGGTTTGTTTGTTCTCTCTCCCAACTTCCCCCCATTGTGTCTCAGGCCCCCTTCCTGCAGTCATCCATCCCAATCTGCCTTTTCTTGTGTCACTCCCTCGCTCATTCATTCACCGTCCCTTGCCCGCCTGATTTGCTTTGTTTCTTTCCCTCTTCTTTCCACCTTCTCGCCCGCCTCCTGCCTCCAGCTGCCGCCGCCTTCCCGATCCACTCCTTCTCCAACCCGATCACTCTCTTCTTCACCACGGGGAGGAGGCATGGGCAAGGAAGCCGAGGTCTAACTCTCCCAACGGAACGGCACCATCTCCTCTGCCGTCAGTCGCATCGCCACCATGCTGCCCATGTCCAGCTTCTTCCCTCAGCGCCTGGCGTCCTCAGTCTGCTCTCGCCTCGCCAACCGCCGCTTCGTCTTCACGATAACCGCCCTGGCCGTGCTCGTCGCCAAGTTCGTCCACATCCACAGCCACCTGTCGGCCCTGTCGACGCAGCAGCTCCTGCTCTGGACCTACTCCTTCTTCGCCCAGGATCTCGGCCTGCTCATCTTCATCCGCCTCCTGCTCGACCTCTGGGTCGCACAAGCCTCCAAGGGCTCGCGCTTTGCCATCGCCACCCTCGCCAACACCCTCATTGCCTACAATGTCTTCCTCGGCCTCGTCGCCACCACCTTCTACGTCGTCTCGGGATCCGAAATTCGCTGGCGAAACGTCGCTGTGGCGAGCGACGCCTCCTCACGTGCCCTCGTCCTCACCGGCACCGTCACCTTCGTCATCATCATTGGTCTGAACCTGGGATGCAGCTGGCTGCTCCAGGATGCCTGCTATGGCCTGTTTGGTTTCTTCGCTGATGTTGTCGACGCGTGCTTCTGCTTCGTTGCGCGCTTGCTCACCCGCGTCTTTTGCTGTCGTTCGCGCGCGTACTCCAGGATCCCCCAGCAGGACATCGAGTATTATCGTAGGTCTAGCTTCGATCTGTCCGACTCCGATTCCGAGAGCGGCCTCAGTAGTAGCGTAAATAGTGGCATTCTGTCACCCCCACATGCCTTCTTTCGACTTCTTTCCCGCTGGTTGGAGAGGGCCAACATTAGGGCCTCACCCACCGCCGTCCAGTTCGTTTGCAAGGTTATCGTGTACATCCTCGCCTCGATCCTCCTAGTCGGCCTCATCGTCACCAGCATCCTCCGACCTGTCGACGGCTCGCTGACTTTCCTCTCGTGGACCACTGGACTGCTCCCCTTCATTGACTTCTCGTCGTCGTCGCCCACTCTCGAGAAACTCCAGACCCATTATGGCACCGGGATCCAACACAAATGGGACAACATCTCTGCGCTCGCCGAACCCATTCCCCTGCCGTGGCTCCCCGAGGCCGACCCGCCTGTTGGATTCGAGGATTGGTACAAGCACCTGGATCATTACAGCGCCGCCGCCGACCCCATGAAGATTGACAACCTGGACCAGCCTGTACTTCCCGAGCTCAAGAACAAGCTCAAAGACATAAACATCCGGCACGTCATCGTCTTCTTTCTGGAGAGCACCAGGAACGACGTGTTCCCTATCAAGAAGGATGGCCTGATCTGGAACCGACTGGCTGACACCTGGCCCGACAAGAAGCTGCCCAAGCATGTGCAGGATAAGCTCGCTACTTTGACGCCAACCGCCAACTTCATCACCGGAGACTTTGACGACGGCTTCGACCACCCCAAGGGGTCGCAGAAGGGACGAGGTG